TTCCGTGCTGTAAAATCTGACGTTACTTTATTTGATTAATGTGTGCAGATTGAAATGCTTACACCAAAGGATTACATTGGTCCACTTATGGAATTGGCTCAAGACAGAAGAGGGCAATTTAAAGAAATGAAATTTATCACTGAAAACAGAGCATCAATCACCTATGAATTACCACTAGCGGAGGTGATCTCTTGCTTTTTCTTTTTTTTTTGTCACTCCACTCTAAAGTCTCTATATGTACTTATATTTAATGAGTTTTGGCCTCTCTATATATACTTATATTTAATTAGTTTTGGCCTGTTTGCATCTCACTCTATCTGTGAATATCAATTTTGCAGATGGTTGGTGATTTCTTTGACCAGTTAAAGTCCAGAAGTAAGGGTTATGCTAGCATGGAGTATGTTTTTATTGGGTAAATACCTATGAAGGCTTTGTTTCATATAAATAAGCATATGGCTTTTGCCTTATTTTATCCATTAGATACGGGAGATATGCCTAAAGTTGTGACTGAACCGGTATGCTGTCGTTTTTAAAAGATAAACAAATATAATTGTAACTGCAGGCGTTCCATTTTGACCTCTATCTCTTTTCTTTTCATAATATAAAATATCTGCTGGTTCATGTAAGTAAATGCGGCATTGTTCTAAGTGGCCTTTCAGTATACGTGTCATTACTAGCAATATCAAACTATTATCCAATAGATGATGCGTTTGTTGACTTTTAATACATTTGACTTTGACGAAATTCATAATACATTGGCTGAGAGTTTAGAAACTGTCAATGTGTTATAATACTCTGTTTGCTGACTCAGGTACACAGAAAGTGATTTAATTAGACTTGACATACAGATAAATGGTGATCCAGTGGAACCATTGTCTACAATTGTTCACAAAGATAAGGTAATTTTTTAACCCTGCCGAGTAAATGGACGTTACCTCATCATATAAATAGTCCTTAGCTCTATGCAATGGTTGGAAATAATGCTGTTGACTTTTCTATTTTTTCTATATATTTTTTGAAGTCTCTCTCCTGTTCTTGATTGCCAAAGCTGACTCCGTCCCGGATTTTCTTCATTTTGCCAATCTGGAGGCATTCATTTCCTGAAATGCTAATGTTTAAATACGGTGGTCATGCATAGAGAAAGGATCAAAGTAATTCCTAATTTTAGAATTTGTCAACCCACTGAGTGGAAATTTTTTGAGGGTGTTAAGAGTCAAGGCGAAAGGAAATGGACTTGCACATAAAAGTGAGATACTTTAGAATAGTTGGTAAGGTTAGTTGGCAAAAAGAAAGAAAGAAAGAAAGAAAAAGAAAAAAAGAGAGTAGTTGGTAAGGTTTGTATGCATAGTTTGTTTCGTTGGTTAATAAGAAAATGTTTTGATATGCAGACTACAACAACATCGAAACAACATAAGTTATATGGTTCTCAAACCTCTAATCTCACGATGTTCAAATCAATCTATTAGTAGTTATATCCATGTCTTGTCCCTTGCTTGGAAGTCTTGAGTCATCACCATCTCAGTCTGTTGGGTTCAAAATGGAAAAATTCAGGATCATTTCATAGAGTTAGGATGAGAGAAAAGAATTCAAGAGTATTTTATTCATTGTACTCAAATATTTATGTAGAGAAGTTGACAACTTCTTTTATATTTTAATGTGCGTTTTATGAATTATTTTATAGATTTAAATCCCAGAACTTACAATATGTATTTACACATGACATTTACTTAGGAAGGATAAATATATCACCAAGAACCAAGTCACAAAGATATTTAGGGGCACAATACGTTAGTAATTGGCAGTTCTTGTTGACTTCATTCTATTCACTTCATGTTGAATGTATCTATGACATAAAAGCGCGGTTTTATCTGCAATTGGCTATCATTTCTAAGCACAGTATGTTTTGGCGTATATGAATGCTTGCCATTCATCACTATATTTGAAAGATGCCTTACAGTTATTAACTTTCCTGAATTCTTGTCCTTGTATTATCAGAAATTCAATTGAAGCTTAAATTTTCAGGCATATTCAGTAGGGCGGGCTTTGACTCAAAAGTTGAAAGAGCTCATACCACGTCAAATGTTTAAAGTTCCAATTCAAGTAAGATCTATACGCTCTTTACTCTTTCATGTATGATTCTTTAGGGGGCAAAAAAAAAAAAAGTCTGACACTCCGTGTTCATGAGATTTCTAACTGGATATTTGGAATCTTTCTTTTCCCATTCAACTAACTCCAGCAACACATGCTGGCAATCTTGTGCCAGGCTTGTATAGGTTCAAAAGTGATTGCTAGTGAGGCTTTATCTGCAATAAGGAAGGACGTGTTAGCTAAATGCTACGGTAAGACAGACTGCCTAGGGTTTGGATTGTAATTCTTTTTCCCCCTCTCGAATAACTTTTACCTGGACCATTTAAGTCTTTCCTGTTCCTTTAATGTATGCATTTTGAGGGGAAATCCATGCAAATATGAAGAAAACAAGATTCCCTCTCGCATGATCATTATGTTCCCCATTAAATTCCTTACTCTATTGTACCTACCCCGATTCCTCTTTATTTATATTTTCTCTTTTGATATCATTGTTCTAGGTGGGGACATTTCAAGAAAAAAGAAATTACTTAAGAAACAGGTACTCCTCAAATTCTGTTGACTGTCATACTATCTTTTATGGAGTATTGAGGCCTGTTGGTGGCTCTGAGGCCATCAATCGATATTTTGCAGTTAGATAGGTGACTACTTGAAAGTTTCGTGTTCACGTGATAGTGTTTGGAAATGGAAAAAGATCAATTGCAATTTTGCTTATTACAATAACTGTCGTCTCGGGCTCGGCTTATATTCTTTTAGGGGAGGCGCAAAATTATTTTTGTGAGAATGAGACGACAAAATCCGCATGCGTGATTATAGTTTTCATTCCAAAAATTTACATGAGATTGCCCCTATGAGTGTGCTGCCATTTGTGTAATCAGGCTGAAGGAAAGAAAAGAATGAAAGCGATTGGTAAAGTTGATGTGCCGCAAGAAGCCTTCATGGCAGTTTTGAAACTTGAAAAGGAGGTGATATGATTCCGTTTGTATGGCTTGCAGCATGATCTAAATTGGGAAATATGTCAGAATCTTGGTGTATCATAATTATTATTTTGGGAATAATGATCCGCATTATGTCTGTTTCAAGGGCAACCAGTTGCATTTAAGATGCTCCATTTCATTTTACTTTCGGCTCATGTGATGCTTGGGAATCTTGTCAAAACAAGCCGTTATTAGTAAAACGATTTCTCTACCCTACTCCATAGGATGCAGTTGAAAGAAGGATAAGACACAGGAATTTTCTATGGTAGAAGCTTCTTTTAATAGATGACCCACTTTTTCCTCTCTCTCCATTTCTATGTTATACTTTTATTTACAGTGTTAAAATTTCGATTTCTTATTAAGAGATGCGTGGGATACGATAAAAATAGACTCAAAGCTTCTTCAAAAACAAATTTCTCAGAAGTTTCGAATCGCATATCTAAATTTTTACCATTTCAACAAATCTCCAAGGTCTCGTTTATTATGAACATTAAAAATAAAGAGTAAAGATTAAAAAGATATGTTAAAAAAAGTGTTCTATTATGAGTGATCATTTGTTACTTGGAATTGGACGAAAGGATAGAGAATACCATAAAAATGTGTGGTATTTTCTAATCCTAATTATGTAGAATCGTCTAATCTTATGTAATAAAATATTACTCATACTGAACACTCTTTAATGATTTTTTTTAATTACAATTCTAATCTTTACTTATCATTTTCAATGCATCTTACCAAAAGGGATCTAAGATCCCGTTTGATTAATACTCCCTCGCTTTCATGTTAGTCCTCACAGAAATGCTGTTATCCATGTTTTATGGTAGTACTTGTCAATTTTAGTTTCTGAGATTGCGTTAATCTTTTTATTTCCTGTTTTGCCTCTTGTTTATTTCTTGAGCGTTGTTCAATGCTTTTATTCGCGGAAGACTGAGGGTATTTAAAGAAGAAAAAGCTAAGCTTAGTTCCTTAAATTTGTAAGAGTGTATTTTCAATTCCTCAATTGTAATATTATTAGTTTCTTTTAATGAAAAATGCTGATTCATCAAACTTTAGTGATGACTGTCCAATTAAATGTTGATAAAGTTTATTTACACGTTAATCTTGTTAATATATCTTTACATTGACAAAAGGTAACATTTTATATTTAAATTAAAAATAAACTGCGCACCTGATTTTAATTAAAAGTAAACTAGGCAAAAATATTTTTATTTGAAAAAAATAATATTCTTTTGTCTCTTTTTCAAATTTAAATATCAAAATATTACTTTGCCGATATAAAAAAAAATATTGTATTAAAAATGATGTAGGCATTTTTGTCAGTATTTAACTGCACATTCATTGCTTAAATTTGATGAATGAGCATTTTTCATGGTGTTAAAATTGAGGTATTTTTATAAAATTAAGGGACTAAAATAAAGCCTGGGTAAACATAAAAAATTCCGAACGTATACTTTAAAAAAAAGAATATGATTAATTTTACAAAGCCTGATGTTATTCAATGATCTCTTTCGTCTCCGTGAAAATACGGAAGTAGACATGACGATGATGACGGAATATTATGAAATGGAATTAAATGTGTGGTGGACTTTTTTATAGAGTATTTAATAATTAGAAATGATATTTACAAGAGCAAAAGAAATTTCCTCCCTCAATATCAACAAAAACTTGGGGCTCTTTTGAAGAATCAAAATCCAAATTCAAATGCACACCAGAGGAACTGTCAGTTGCTCTCGGCCTACGCCGTGGCTATGATTTTTGGTTGAAATTAAATTTTGCTAAAAAATTTTAAACAGCTTCTTAATTATTATTTATAAATATAAAATAAGTACGTGAGAAAATGTCTCACTGGATTGACCAGTAGCTGATTGAGAAAACTACACAAGGTCCCAAAATATTACAAATAAACACTATAAAAAAATTGATATTGATTAAATCTCATTGCAAAATAAATATTGAGAGACTGATGTTATTTCTTACCAATATAAAAAACCAATCATAATTTACAATTCAACTCTAGAGTTCTGCAAGTTCTTCATAAATTTACAAATGCTATGTCTAAAATAGCATTTGCCACGGCAAATGATCATCTCCTTCCAACATGTTTTTGACATCAATTTACAAAATGCTTCAGATTAATTACTCTGCCCAACAAGGCTTAAGAGGGAATACTTGACCATCAGATATATCTTCCCATAGTGCACCGCAAGCCTGGCTCCAGACACAACCCAATACCCCGGTGAATTTTCTGGTCCTCTCACCCTCTCCGTCGTGTCAACAAACCTCAGATGCTTCGGTGGGTACACCGGCATTGGGGGCCCTGTTGGATACAGGGCAGACGAAACAGTCACATCGCCTGGCTTTGGATGACCCTTTCGTTTCTCTCTAGTGAATAATAATCCACAGAATCCTAATGACTTGTGGCTCAACTTACTGAGATTGGGCTCCCATTCTGGTTCACTCTGCAAAGTAGATCCGAGTATTTTGGAGAAGCGCAGGCGTAGAAAGAGGCACTTGTTCTCAACTTGTAACTGAGCCCCAGTGACTATGGAGAGAGGATCATTTGACTCTACAGGTGCAGTGCAGACACATGCAAGGCTATTCCACCAAACCTTTTGATGGAATGTGCAGTTATAAGAGTTACATGACAAATAAGCATTTTCATTGTCTGAAAGTGGGAAGGACTTTGGTAGAGAAGCCAGATGCTGCAAGTGAATTGCCAAGCGGTTGCTTCTTCTGCCTTCCAACTGTAGCCTTAGTCCTACTACGGGTCTGTTACCCACATCGACCTGCCATTGAAGGGAAAAGGACATGTCATATTTGGTGCTTTATTTATTTATTGTTTCAAAAAAATTTAAGTTAGGTCCCAGGGGCTCATGAGGGTCTAGGGCCAGGGTATGCTTTCAGGCTCAAAACATATTTAAAGATCGCTCACCAATAAAGTTATCACATTGATAATGAGATTTGAACTCATAATTTTGTTAGTTATAAACTGGCTCTGTATCAATTAGACTAACTCTTGTTGACTTTTATTTATTTATTTAGTTTGAGGTCTGTCATTTTTCAAAAGTTCCATCAAATCCAACTAATCTAAGGGTCATTTAGTTTAGCATTTTTTTTTTCAAAAAGGTGATTTTGGTTAGGGGTGAAAGGGGGAATTGGGTATGGGGAGGAGCTAAAAATAGTCTATCTTTAGCTTACTTTGACAAGCTAATCCTATTCAAACTTTATTATTTATCTCAGTTCCCCACAACTCTTCCCAACTAAAATCACTTTAAAAGAAAATTTCAACAAACTGGCCCTAAATGGACTCATTAAGGGAACAAAACTTTCTCAACACTTCTCTACTCACAAAGATTAAGCTTGAAATCTTGACTTATTTTCTCTATTGTTGTTGTACCATTGATATGAGGTCTCCCAGTTTTCAGAAGTTACATGTGTCCCAACTAATCTAAGTCAAACCAAGTTAACTCATCGAAGGGACAACACTTTCTAAAGGTTATTTTCTCTATCTACAAAGATGAGCTTATCACACAAAAAAAAAAAAAAAAAAAAAAGAGGATGGAGCTTGAGATGTTATTTAAACAAATCTAATTCATTAATACTCAAACAAGCATTAGTAATAGATTAATTTTTTCGGTTGACATGACATCGAAGTTCTCATTATTAGGATAGTTTCATGTGAGAGGGTATACTAGATAATATAATGAAATTAATATAAAATTCACTCTAAAAAACACAGGGGAAGAATCAAAGATAAGAGAAGCACGGGAACTGCAGTTTGTTAGTAGCGCCATGCAAGTGTACAAAAGTCGGGCTCCCAGTAGCTGTTACTGTATGGCTCAACTCTTAAAGAGAGAAAAATGAAAATTCCAAACCACGCTTCCTCAACAAGAAGCAAATCAATTTACTGATTCCTTCTTTACAGTATTGATGGGTGATGGCAAAAGGATGGAAAACAGGAAACAAAAGTACGTCACTTCATCGTCTTAGTCTCAGTATTCTATAGTTTGTACCAAGCATGGGAAAACAACTCAGATTCAGGAGAAATGGACGGAGAACTTACTGGAAATGTGTCTATGTAAAGCTTATGACCAAAGAAACTGAAGCTTAGCCAGGTGTTGAGTTGGTGCTTCCCATTAGATCCAAGACCCATGTCGGCTATCAAAGGAGCCCAGGCTTTTGGAAGTTGAAACCCTAAAAACTGAGAGAGCCCTTTGATTGGAGGTTGATCTGTTTCAGGAGTAATCAGCAGCTCAATTTCAGAGGCAGGTTGTTAATTGTTACATATCATCTTGAAGAAATCCAAATAAAAGCAAACGAGTTCATTGCTCACATCGAAGATATAGATTCATGGCATGGTTCAGAAATCCAACTGATCTAACACTGGATGGCACGAGGTAAATCAATGGAACAAGCAACATGGAGATGACATCGGGCCCTGAATCCACAGTACGAAGCCACTCCTTATGATTCAGTTTTTCAGTGCTTCCACCCTTCCTACTGCTTCTAATAATCACATTCTGCCAATTATCAAGTTGTGCTGCTCAATTCATGATAGGCACTACACATTACAAAGTATAAGGATCGAATTGTGAATTATACGATTTAGACTTGCTTTTGATTTAGCCATCGATTTGTTTTTTGCTTTGTGACTTGTGAATTATGATGAATCACCAAATATCAATCATCGGTCCAAATATTTTGGTTACTACATGGAAATTATGATACTACAGAAAGACCCAGAAGAAAAATTATTTACTGGATGAACAAATTTGTATTCAGCTAGCTGAATAACAAATTTAAAAGTCGCCAACCCAACCTCCAAGTTGCGCCAGGACAAGGTAAAAGAATACTCCCTTGTATCCTTATTGTGCAAGGCATTTTTCCTAGAAGAATTTTTTGTCCTAAATACTATCTCCTGCTCTTAATATAAGAGCTAGTTGGAGATTCAATTTAGTTCTAAATTCATTTTGTCTCCACTATTTGTCCATTTTGCCTCCCAAATACTCTTTATGATAATTGCATATGTTAAAAAGTCTCTATCAATAGTCAGTTTAAATGCACATGATTAATAAAGGTATTTGAAGGAAGATGTCATCCATTTATTAAAAATAACTAATTTAACTAATTTTTTCAATATTTACAAATTAGATATTTAGTTCTTATGTAAAGATGGAAGGTAGTATAAGTTATCAACGAATTATTAATTGCTACTTTCAAATTTTACCCATGTTATTAATTAAGGTTTAGTGTTGATAAGCTCGTTGAACTCTGTGTTTATCTATCTACATCATTTAAGCTGGAAATAAACTTAGAAAAAAAAATATTAATTTATGACAAATTTAATGTTTTAACTATCATTTCTTGATACATTGAGAATTAGTTAAGAATCCACCGTAATAAGGATGAGGGGAGTATGTGCGCAATACCTCTTCATTGTAACGTATATCTTCAGAAGTCAGGCAGCTATTTTCTGCAGAATCCATAAACCTCATGTCAGCTTTATCCTTCAAAAGCTTTTGGAGCTCAGGAGGTTGGAGGTTCGATGAATATGATTGCCTCAAATATAACACATCCTTTCCTCCCATACTCACCCCAACTACAACATGAGTTCCAAACTCCTCTATGAACCTAGCATGATTGCATAGAAATTAGTGTTATCATTGTGAACTGTTCAAGAGTCGCCACAATTTTCAACGAAATCGTGTTCCATATAAACATAAATCTTTTCACACCAGGAAAATTAGTAATGTGCTAAGAGAAATTAGTACAAGAAGCTGTGGATACACTTCTTGCTAATGGAATCCAAGGACAACCAATAAGATACGGTCATAATAAGGTTTACAAGTTGCTTTTAGATGTAATTGAGGGTTTTCCTTCCAGCTTAAAATATAAGCATCAAAACTTTGAAGAAGCTCTACAGTTTGAATTTTTTTGATTATTTAATGCTTTTTCAAAAAATTTTATCCTTAATTTGTTATATGTTTTTTTCATCTATTTTTTTCACTCGTACTCTCTCTGCTCATTTTTTACTCATTCTCTCTTCCACTCACCCTCTCTATATAAATGATGATGTTTTAAGAAAATAAGTAGTAATTTTTATGTATTTGTTGTCTATAACCAATTTTAATGAATGTTTTGAATTGCATAAGTTAGTTATTTGATGTTTATTTTTTAAACCGGGAGAGTATGACGGTGAAAGTGGATAATATTTATGAGCACGAAGTTTTAAGTAAATGAAGAGAAAAATTCAACCTGCACAAAAGTTACTTTGTTCCTCTGGAACCAAATCATAGAACTAGCTATAGGGAATGTATTGAACAGAGCCAGAAAGTCTCACCTAGCCAAAGCATCAGGGTCCCATGTTGATGGAACAGCTTCTTTGACACGATCCTCAAGTTCTGCTCGATTTTTATTATCTAGTTCAATAGTATAGCTTTTGAGGAACCACCCATCATAAGCAAGAGATTTAATGCCGCCATAATCCTCAATCCAGCGATCAGATAGCCCAAACGAGGCAAGGAAATTCCCAGGCACCGGAGCAGTGCCTCCCAGGCTCAATTCCTGGTTGAAGTGCTCCTTCATCTAAAACAGAATACCAGGTCAAAAAAATGAAAAGAGGACTTTTGTCCCTTAAAGACAGACATGTTTGACTTGCTAAACGTGAATTTCTGCAACTATGTAAACGAACATACCTGCCGCGGGGAGAGAACATCGGACTGGATTCTTAGACATTCTCCTCTAACACACTTGATAGAGATAGGGACGTTTGGAATTGAAACCCCACACGGAATCTCCAGATTATGGCTCTGTTCTTCATTGATCACTATCAAACTGGAACCCAACTTGCAGTTGTTGAAAGATATGTCTTTGGTAAGGTCAAATCCAAGGCCGATTGACTTAATAGCTTGCTGGGCTGCTTGAACACGTGAATCACTTGAAGCCATCGCTGGATCAGAAGGATTACCAGAGAAGGCATGTTTAATAAAAAGAAGAAACCATTGTTTATTGTTGGCGGGGCGTTAAGAAGCTGCTCAGAAGCTTCTTTTTTTGTTGTCTGAAGCTGCTAAGAATTAACTAAGAAGCAAAACCAGGCATTTCCACTCCTTTTTCAAAGGACTTTAGAGAGGTTTTTGGGCTGACGGAGATACAAATGAGAGGGAATGGATTGTGAAGAATTTTGCAAATTTTAGATTTTGTTTGTAATATAATTTATATTATAAAATGAGGATTATTTTTTAGATTACATGAGTATTATTTTTTTAACAGGGAGTCGTCCTCTGCTGGTGCGTTAATCCATTGATTTCCTCAGAATGTCTGCGATGAATTTGAATTGCCATTGTGTGTGTATAAAATCAGCTTGAAAACCTTTTTTGCCCTTCCACTAGGACAAAGACCCCCAGAATAAATGGAGGGACACTTTCCGAATTACATAATCTTCTTGTCTTCTACGGGTCCCAGAATTCCAGTAGTCTGAATCTGATGACCTCCTTCGCCAGATATTTTCTTCTGTGGCGGGAGCAGTTTGCCTCTCAGCCACTTCTTCGTCCCTTCCTGCTTTGTACAACTCCATGCCAAATCAGATAGAGCATTTGCCATATTCGATTATCTCCCTCCAACCATCCATCGCAGCCGCAAGTTTGACGTCTGTTTCTCTGACGCAACTCTATGAAGCTTCGGTTTCGCTCTGCACAACAAGGTTCAAAAGTGAATACTTAACCATCAGATATTGTTTTCCCCCGCGACGAAGCAAGCCTTGTTACAAGATTGAAATGCTTTTGATCAAAAAATTTTCCTCCGCTTCTTAATTCTTCCCTCTTTCCTCATTGGCGACAAAAACTTGGGGTTCTTGCGACCAAACTCGCAGAATCAAAATCAAAATCCGATTTCAAATGTACACTGAAGGAACCGCCAGTTTTTCTCTCCCTATGCCTGGCCTTTAGTTCTGCCCTTAATTTTCCGTCTTCCTCAGATTTACAACAAAGGAAGCTAGTTCGATAGAACAAAGAGATGGCTTACCACTGCGAGCTCGACCAAGTGAGCTCAACGGATTTGGATTAACAAAAGGCGAGGAAGGTCGAAGGCAGAGCACATCGGAGCCAGTTGGTGGGATTGGAAGCATGGTGGATTGAATAATCCTAGGAATGGATGTCCCTTCAATTTTTGGGAAGAACGAATTTGATAAATTTATTTAGGAATTAGGAGTTAGGACGGCACCGAAGTCCGAGAGAGACTGATTTCTTGTACCGAAAGAAAAAAAGACGCATTTCCTTGGCAGTCCTGTAACCAAACATGGCCTGGAAGATGATATGATGCTTCTTTTTTCCTTAAGATTAAAGATGAGTTAAGTAACTGATAAGTAACCATTTCAAACTTATATAGAAATATTATGTGACTTTGGAGAACAAAATGCAAATAAAATATCGTCCAGAGCCACAAGAAGAAGTGATTACTGACGTATACATCAAATTTTCTTTATACTGGAAAGAACTTTATGAATACTTTGACATGAAAACCACCATTTGTATACATGTTAAAAGCATATTCTTGGTTTCAAAAAAAAAAAGCATATTCTTGGTTAGGACTCTGACTAAACTGAAAATCAGGCCACAACTCTACATGTCTCTAAAGTCTAAACCATCCATCGCAGTACCAATATGTTTTGGCATCACTTTCACTGAAACAACACTATAAGGCTTCATTTTCACTACTCTGCCTAACAAGGTTCAAGAGTGAATACTTAACCATCAGACATATTTTCCCATACTGCACAGCAAGCCTTGCTCCAGACACAACCCAATACCCCGGTGAATCTTCTGGTCCTCTCACCATCTCCGTCGTGTCAACAAACTTCAGAAGCTTCGGCGTGTGCACAGGCAGTGGCCGTGCTGCTGTGTACGTGGTTGACCCAATAGTCACATCTCCTGGCTTTGGATGACCCTTTTGTTTCTCATTAGTGATTAATAGTCCACATAATCCTAATGGCTTGTGGTCCAAGTTATCGACATTCGACTCCCATTCTGGTTTATTCTGCAAAGCAGATCCGAGTACTTTGGAGAAGCGCAGGCGTAGAAAGAGGCATTTGTTCTCAACTTGTAACTGAGCTCCAGTGACTATGGAGAGAGCATCATCTGACTCTACCGGTGCAGTGCAGACAAATGCAAGGCTATTCCAGCGAACCTTCTGATGGGATGTACAATTATAAGAGTTACATGACAAATAAGCATTTTCATTGTCTGAAAGTGGGAAGGACTTTGGTAGAGAAGCCAGATGCTGCAAGTGAATTGCTAAGCGGTTGCTTCTTCTCCCTTCTAACTGTAATCTCAAGCCTATTACGGGTCTGTTACCCACATCAACCTGCCATTGAACCAAAATGAACATGTCACAGACATTTATCAGCAGTATTACTAGCTTGCCATTTACATCAAGGATTCTTGATAACAGTTTAATTTTTTCAAGCCTATTACTAGCTCCTTGCCATTTATTACTAGGATGGGTCTTATATTAGTCATTGCATCAGATGTTCTAATAAATCTAACATCAAACCATATAAACGACACAAAGGAAGAGCAATTGCTCTAATAAAGGAAACGGATGATTCGTTTCAGCTCATACAGTTTCAACAAGTGCGCTGATCAACTAGTGATGTCTTTACAATATTGGCAACGAAAAGATGGGAAACAGGTATGAGAAACTTGTATGTTTGGATCTTTGGCTATGATCACAATAGCCTATAAGCCGTAATGCTCAAACAAGGTAATCAAGACAAATGCTCAAATAAGGAATAAATAAATGATAGACCTTGAGTAAAATTAGCCATAGTAGATTTTGATTGTTATGACGAATACACGAGGTCTTAGAGAATAAGATAGCTCCTTAGCCTTTCATGATTCAGCCCATCAAAGAGCGTTAACTCTTTTCTAGCATTCAAGAAACCAATAATTCAAGTCATTAAGTGGAACAACAGTCACATGCATAATCATAAAATACTACCTCCATTTCTAATTATAAAACCCCATTTGTAGTTTAAATGAGGTCTTATATTTAGGACTGGAGGTAGTACATCTTAAGATAATGTGTATCTTGATATTTAATATGGATACATGACTTTGGCCAACTACTAATGAATGTACCATTATTGATGATTATAATTAAGATTTATTTCAACTTTTAATACAGACCATATTTCATCATGTTTATTATTATTCGTCTAGCAAAGACTGTGTCTTGTCATGTGGTCATTAGGTCTATATCAAGTTTATCATAAATTTAACGGGGAGACAAAGTTATGTCTCTTCATTACTCTCTAGCTTCTAGGAAGCATGGGAAATCTTCATTATTCACAAAAACAGATAAAGAGCTTACTGGAATTGTGTCTATGTAAAGCTTAGGACCAAAGAAACCAAATGTTAGCCAGGTGTTGACTTGTTGCTTCCAACGAGCACCAAGCCGTATTTCATTGAGAACGGGAGCCCAGTGTCTCGGAAGCTGAAACTCAAAAAACTGATGCAGGTCTTCGATTGGAGGTTTATCTGTTTCAGGAGCAATCAGTTTAATTCAGATTCAGTTTATCCAATTTCAGAAGGAGTTTATTGCGTATGCTTTCTTGAAATTCACAGGTTTTTCAAGTGCTGTGCAAAATAAACCAAACAAGTCCACTGCTTACATTGAAGATATAAATTTAGGGCATGGCACACAAATCCACTTCCACGAATGCTTCTCAAGAGGGATGTCAATGGAACAAGAAACATGGAGATGACATCAGGTTCCAAGTCAACAGTATCAAACCATTCCTTATGATGTAGCGTCTCAGTGCTTCCACCCCTCCTACTGCTCATTACAACCACGTTCTGCAAACACATGAAAAATTCATCATGCTTTCTTGTCAGGAAATTAAGGTATTTGAAAAAGGTCCAGAAGAAAATTTGTATGCTGGATGAACAAATGACACGATGTGATTTGGTTGTTTATAGAGCACAATAGCAATAGCGTGATGTGATCTGTGCAACTGACCTCACCTAGTGAGATAAAGCCTGTTGTTGACTTGTTGTTGGATGAAACAAATGCATACAAGAGCAGGATATTGAACAAATTTAAAGTAACTGAACAAATGGTGAATAAAATATAGGTGTAAAATACCTCTCCATTGTAACGTGTGTCTTCTGAAGTCAAACTACTATTTTCTGCAGAGCCCATAAACCTAATGTCAGCTTTATCCTTCAAAAGTTTTTGGAGATCAGTGGGTTGGAGGTTTGATGAATGTGATTGCCTCAAATATAACACATCCTTTCCTCCCATGCTCACCCCGACTACAACATGAGTTCCAAACTCCTCTATAAACCTTGCATGATTTGATAGAAATCAACGTTATCATTGTGAAGGCTCTTAATACTTTCCATAGTCTTCAAAAAAATCATGTTCCCCACACACACTCCTCAGCTCAGATACATCTTATCACAAGTATTTGGGTGAAAAAAGATAGCATTGAATGTAGCAAGTGCTTTCCATCAAAGTTTCTAAATGAAATTGAGAAGAAAAAGGAAGCTTTTAACATCATAAAAGGTAGTAAATTTGTTCCATTAACTAGCATTGTTGGATGGTGATTTCACAGATTCTCACCTTGCCAAAGCCTCAGGGTCCCATGATGATGGAACAGCTTCTTTGACATGATCCTTAAGTTCTCCTTGATGTTTTTCAAGTTCAATAGTATAGCGTTTGATGAACCATCCATCATAAGCAAGAGATTTTATGCTATCCAATTCTTTTATACAGCGATCAGATATCCCAAATGAAGCACAGAAATTCCCAGACGCAGTTCTACCTCCTAAGCACATTTCTTCGTTGAAGTGCTCCAACATCTGAAACAGAATGCAGGAATTTGATCCTCAAAGACACAAACGTTTGACATGCTAAACATGAATTTCTGCAACAATAACTGACATACCTGCTGTAAGGAAAGAACATCAGAATGGATTTTTAGAGATTCACCTCTGACACATTTGATGGAGATGGGGACGTTTGGAATTGAAACCCCACCTGGAATCTCCAGATTACGGCTCTGTTCTTCAATGATAACGATCAAACTCGGACCCCTCTTGCAGTTGTTGAAAGATATGTCGTGGGTTATGTCAAATCCCAGGCCAATTGAGCCAATGGCTTTCTGTGCTGCTCGTAGGCGTGAATCTCTCGATGCCATTGCTGAATTTGAAGGTTTATCAATGAAGAAAGATTTGAGAAACAGAAGAAACCATTACATTCAGTTCTGAAACATTCATTTTAAGTTTCACGGATCAACACTAAGGAGCAATAGTTAAAGTTGCTCCAACTTCCAAGTGACTATGACGTTTACTTTGGGGTCTACTTCTGTGAAGAGGAAGCAGCTAAGAAGCAGATCAAATTTCCTTTTTTCCTCCTTTTTTTTTCCCTTCGAGAGGACAAGAAAGAGTGCAATTTTCTCAGAACGTTTGATCTTTTTATTTTGAAAAATAAAAAAAAATATGTTTTTAAAAACTGAAAAACCAAAAGTCCAAAATAATTTTTATATGTTTTCTGATTTCTGATTTTGTGTTTTTTTTATTTTTTTATTTGGAAACATTTGAGAAATTTTTGTCTCTTCTCTTTTACTACCTACTATTTATTACTACTGATAATAATTATTACTTGTTAAAGTGTAATTATTTATATTTTTTTAAATATGATTTTTTTAAAATTATTTTCCAAACAAATTTTTTTATTTTTTGTTTGCAAAACTTGTTCTTAAAAATTATTTTAAAAATAAGAAAACAAAAAACAAAAACAAACAAGCCCTATATTTCTCCCATGGCAATATCAATATGGCATGGTTTCATTAGTCTAAAACTCGTCAAACCACTTTATGAATTAATGATGACATTTTTTAGTTTGAAGAGTTTCGGACAATAATTTTGAATATTTTGATCCTATTTACTAGCAAAAAAAAAAAATCCAGCAAAGCATACCAGGAGAGTACCCCAGAAGTCAGCCTCGTGATCCATTGGCCACAAGACATCCCACGTGGTCACATTCGACCCACAAAGATGCGCGTGATTGTGTGTAATGTGTGCATATAACAAAAGGCGCGTTTGGAATCACCGTTATAAGTATTTATAAATACATTATAAAATATTTTATATATATTTATCTAGTGTTCTTTAAATTATGATTAAAAAATTATTTATAAGTTATTTTATACATGTCCTAAAACTTGTATAAGTCAACATTTTATTGTCCAGATGGCAAAAACACTTTTATTAATGCCTTTTTTAATCCACCTTTTTTTTTGCACTTCTTAAGTTTTTTTTAAAATATAAGATTATGAGTTTTAAAATGACTGGTTACGCATCTTTTAAAATTTATTAATTATTATAACTATATTATTATGTCATTTCTCAAATCTCATTTGAAAATATTTAAAAAAAAACACATATATTATTTATTTGGTGTTTTTAATTAAATATTTCAAGAAAAAACATGAATTTTTTTTTTTTTGCATCTTGTATGAAAGAAAACCAGGAAAAATTAGAAAATAAAAAAATAGATGAATTTAGTAGAGTAAAACAAGACTTTCCCATCCATATCCAGTGAATTACCAACCAAACATATGTATACATGCACACAGATACACATATAACGACAGCAAGTGGAATTAACTATACACACTGTACTACGTTATCGTGCTCTGTCAACCGTTACACGGGTGTCCATACAGAGGCATTAAAAGTGAAAACAATGGACAGGCCTTAGGTGGGGTGGGGGAAGATAGATTATTTGACTGATTCCAAAAGGAAGAAAGAAGGTTGGATACGGCATGAGACCAAGTCGGCGAGAGCCAGAGCCCAGAACCAACCAGGGGACACGGACACGTTCATCAAAAATCTCATTTCCGTTATTCTCTTTTTTATTATTATTCAAACCAATCACCAAGTTCGTATCTTTGTTCCTGCTTTCTTTTCTTTTCTTTCTTTCTTTCTTTCTATTTTCTCAACTCATCCGGCAGTACCTACGAGGCAAGCCGCCAGAATTCATCCCCCCCCCCCCCCCCAACCCCATTTATGTTCAATGTATTGGAAAATTCCTTTTGAGAATTAAGAGCAGGGAAAAGCACATGCTTTATGCATGATCTCAAGATAATGTGTGAGTTCTTTTTTTCCTATTTAATTTCTTTGTTAAAAAAGATTTTTTCCAATTGTCTATTACGATGCGAGATTATCTTTTGTGGCATGTTGTTATTATTAATTAATTAATTAATTAATTAATTAATATAGTTATCTGATAGAAGGCTTAAAACGTTGAATTTCAACCTTAGGAATAAGCGTCTTTTTTTTTTTTTAACAAAGTCTAATTCATTTAAAATAAAAGAGAGCTTTTTTCCCCCTTTTTTTAGGCCAACGCTCATACAATTAGGCCTCTTAAGGGCCGGCGCATTAGAATCAAGTCAATCTTAATTGACATTGATTAAGAGCTAATGGTAGAATGTGGGAGATGAGGATAAAATTTTTGTAACCACGTGAATTAGTTAAACAGGTTTTTTTAAAAAAATAATAATAATAATGCAACTATAGGTACAGCACTTACAAACAAAACACCTGCAAAACCAAACGCCACCTGCTACTTCCCTTTAATCTCCAATCCATGTTCTTAATGAAACCACCCTTCCTAATATAAACATCAAACTACAAACACAAATTAAAGATCTTTCGGTTGAACATGAGTAAGTAGTACTATGTCCGGTTCGTAATAAAAGAAGTAGTTGATTAATTTAAATAGATTAAAAAAAATCTACTTCAAATCCTTAATATAAGAGGTAGTTGATTAATTTAAATAGATTAAGAAAAAATTGTACCTCCAGTTTTAATAAGGAGATAGTTGATTAATTTAAATAGATTAAGAAAGTTTGTTAAGTTAGTTATTTATAATAAATAAGTGTTATCTTCTCTAGAATGTTTTTGCTAATCATGTCTATTAGTTAGAACTCCATTTAATAAAAATTTTAACATGTGCAATTACTATAAAAACTATTTTAAAAAAATAAAAAATGTGATGAGAAAAAAATATATTAGAGTCTTATATTTAAGACCAAATTAAATATCAAACTAGTTTTTATATTAAAAATCGAAAAATATTACCCATGCAAAAAATTCTACTTTATAATGCTGCATGATTGGGGGAAAAAAAAACCCACTAAGAATTTTTTTTTTTTTGGTAAAAACCCACTAAGAAATTGATGGAGAAGCTAATGCCACTAACTTTACTTTCGAAGAAGGATAAACGGACTTCTATTCAATTTGGATTTGAATGGATCGGACATAAATTTAATATTAAGTCGATTGAGAGTCCTACATTGATGATAAGAGTTCTGGGAATATTCGGAAATTTCATTAAAGCTATATTTGATGATGATGGGGACCTAGGATCCAGACCCAACAACTTGCAAAAATTATAATTAATGTGCAAACTTTTTAAAATAAAATTATTTTTTGCATCCTATTATTAACAATTTTTAGTTATTTGTCATTTTTAAAATATTGTAGTCTTGAAATATAATTGAGTTTATTTTTTTTTCTCTCCCGATTGCCCCTTTTTGATTTCCCAATCAATATTTATATCCTACACCTAAAATAATGCATTGCATGCCTTTAATATACTTTCCCCGTCCTCAGTATAAAAATTAGTTTAACATTCGATTTGATTCTAAATATAAAATTTCAATTCACTTTGTCTTTTATATTTATCTTTTTTTTTAGATAATCATTGTAATAGTTGCATGTATCAATATTTCATAAAATGGTGGTTTCGTTAAATAATTAGTATTAATTTTCTTAATCTATGGACCTCAAATCAATCGCAGTTCACGAGCGGCGTTCCTCAGACTTCGACCTGTTTATCCATTTGCCAATCCCCTCGTGATTATGGGGAAGGACTTGAAAGCTACTAGAGAAGGCTTGAAAGACAATTTCCAATTGTATGGAGAATGGAGCACGAGGCTGCTTCAAAAATAGAGCTTTTTTTTTTTTTGGAGAAATAATAATTTTAAAAAATTCAAAATATGTGAAATGAATTTTGTTTTGAGAGTTATGTGAAAACACTGCCCCTCATATTTTAATTAAAACCAATTATAAACTTCTTAATCACATTCTTTCTGATAAACAGCTCTCATATATAAACTTGATTTATAAGGATCACGTCTAAAAGAATTGATTTAATCAAAATGAAGAATCTGGATAAATTTTGAAGAAAATATAATTAAAAATCAGAATTAAAAAAATAAGTAATAGTGGCTTATGAAATAATTCTAATTTTTTCAATTCATAATTGATATTGATGTATAAACGTATGGGATGTTTGAATTTTATTAAAAAGAGGATTATAATATGATTTGCTCTTTTGTCCCCCCCCCCCCCCCGGGTCAGAGATACGGAAATAACTCAAGTTATATACGTTAAAGACAAAAACGATTTCGCATATCTGTATGAGTGCAAGGATTAGTATAATACCTCAATGATGAGGCGGAGATGCCCCAGGCAGCCCTCAAGGGCTGACTTTCTCTGGAAACAAGCCGTCACCTACCAATGTGAAACATAAACTAATCAATAGAAATATCTCTGCTCAAAGTTCAGACCTGTACTAGTTTGACCAGCCATCTTGCATGTACCTTGGGGGCACCGAAAAGCGAAAACGATATTTAAATCATGTTTAATGTTCACCTTTGGTTGTAGACCCTTTCTTCTCTAGTTTGGTAGATTCTCAACAAGTCTCGATTTCCACGGAAAACCCATCACTGTTCGTGTTTGTTTTGTAGATTTTCTGGGAACATTTTCAGGAAAGATTAGGTTTCTAAGCCTGCTCTGGTCTCTGCTTTGAGTTTGATCAAAGGTGATGAGAGCGTGGTAAGGAAAAATGTCAGCGAAGGCCTTGGACCCAAAGAGATTGGCTGAAGCTTCCATAAAATCTATTGGACTGGGATACGATCTCACAAATGATCTCAAGCTCAGATCCTGCAAAATAAATTCTTCTGATCCAATATTAATTGCTATAGACAAGTACCCAGCTCGGACCGTTGAGCTCCCGAACGGAGTTTCATTCTCAAATGTCCCCAAATCAATTAAATGTGATAAAGGGGAGCGTATGAGATTATGCTCCGATGTCCTCACTTTTCAGCAGGTACCTTCTCTATTTGAAAACATGTTTATTGTTTTTTTAAATTGTTTTTCGTCTCACTTTTATTTACTAAATCACAGAAAGCTATATGGGTTCAATTCTAACTCAAAGCAAACTTTGTTGTTTTAATATTGAGTCCAAACTTTTCTTTTCATGTAGATTCTGTGTGTCGTGAACTGAAAATGATTTAAGCTTTCTAACAGTAGATTTTTCCCTCTCCATTTCTTTTTCTTTTTTCGGTTAACAAAGCATTGCATATTCTGCTCTAGATGTCTGAGCAGTTCAATCAGGAGCTATCACTATCTGGTAAGATTCCATCGGGGTATTTCAACGCTGCATTTGAATTATCAGAGGCCTGGCAGAAAGAAGCTGCAAATACAAAAAGTCTTGCTTTTGATGGCGTATCCATAACCTTGTACAACGTTGCATTAGAGAAAACCCAGGTTGTTCTTCGTGAACATGTCAAACAGGCTGTCCCGTCATCATGGGATCCGGCTGCGTTGGCAAGGTACCTTGAGGGTTCAGCAGGATAATCTTTCTTGCTAGTCTGCTTAATTTGCTGGCTTGCCACTACAATTTTCCTTAATTTATAATGTACTATCACCTATGTGTCCAACAAGTGTCCTGAAAACTTAATAAAGTGGGGATGCACTGTTTGGGCTGTAACAGTGAAAGAGATTCTTTTTCGATTTTTCATGTGAAACATATATTATATCTGAATGATCATTACACAATATTATGGATTCTTACTTTTTTTTAACTTTGGCAAATTAAAAAGATATCTTTCTTTCTCAAAATCACTTCTTTTATTTTCTATTATTGTGTGTGCGCGCGTGTAAATAATTCTGTGTATCAAATCGAAGTTGGGTCAGACATTCTAAGTTTGCAAGCTTAATTATATCCTTCAGAATTATGCTATCTCTTGTAGAGCCCTTTCAATGTTATTTCTTTCCATCTTGCATCTTGGTTATCAGCCTACATCCTGTTGTGGTTGATTCAATTCAACTGCATTTTTTCCCGCACAACCAAAGGAGTTCAATGGATACATTTTTATGTCTTTGGCAATCACTACTGTCAATCCAGTCATTTAAAATTGTTGACCAGCAAAACCCTAACCATCCTTCTATCTTATAATTTCAGATTCATTGAGAAGTTTGGAACGCATGTCATAGTTGGGGTGAAAATTGGGGGAACTGACATAATATATGCAAGGCAGCAATTCTCATCTTCTGTCCAACCCACGGATGTGCAGAAAAAATTGAAAGAGATGGCTGACAAGTTCTTTGTAAATGGTGCTGGACGATATTACACAAACGATGAAAAATTTAATCAGAAGGAAAAGGTCAGCTTTTGGGTTAAAATATATTTTTCTTCTGTCCCCATCAAGTGAATTTTGAGAGCTCTCAATTGAAAATCTATTAGGGCAGAGTCAGATGGTATCAATGAACCCAAGGTTGATTTGGAAGTTGTAGGCCGTATATGCTTTTAATCTCTGGTAAATAATGAAAGAGAATATTTGAATCCTTTGCTAATGGAATTGTAAATTTCCTGTAAAAACGTCAGAATATATTGGTAGCGAAATACTACATCCTAACCTTCTGTATTTTGTCCTAAATCAGGGAATCCTGGATCTCAATCCCATAAGGAAAAAAGTTTTCTGCACTCCCAAAAAGAATGCTAGCACTTCAGTAATATTCGAAAGGTTAAATTAGTTGTGTGAAAAATCCAAAAGTCTAGTCTAGGGAAATTGAGGGGTAGAACTTAAAAGTTGACATAGAAATATTTTCAGATTTATTGTTTAATTTCATTTTCCTTCTCCAAATCTTTGAAAATCAGGAGCAATAACTGTGAAGGAACACATTTTTCCCTAAATGATAATGTGAAAGATGAGGAGAACAAATCAAGTGAAATTAGGGAACTGTTTTAGAAGACCTTTACATCAGATAGATGGGTAGATGCCATGTATGTGGTAAAGCCACTGCACTTGACAGCTTTCACGCATATCTTTTTAAGAAAAGGACTTGATTGATAATGCAGATAGCTTAACTTATGCCACTGTCTTCATCTGCAGTTTTTGAAAGAGAATGTGCTGGGTGTGACAGTTGCATCTAGTTCCTATTACTCTCTTGAGGTAAACAGAGCTGCTTTTAACACTATATGCTCCTCCTGTAATTGATTTTAGGCTCCACACTTTTCTAACCGATTCCTTTACTAAGCTTTCCAATTATTTATCTGTTTCATGTCTTGCTGAATGCTTATAGATAATATGCTTGTCTCTTGGGCTTTTTTTTCTCTTTTGGTGACAACTTGTCTCTTAGGCTTTGTTTGTTTCCACTATAATTGATGGTTGGCTACGTACAATTTCTAATTGACTCCTTTACTCAGCTTTTCAATTATTTTATCTGCTTTGTGGCTTGCTGATAGATAATACGCCTGTCTCTTAAGCTTTGTTTGTTCCTACTGTAATTGGTTTTTGGCTTCATAACTTCTAATTGATTCCTTTACCCATCTTTGTTTTATTGTTTATGTGCTTTATGGCATGCTAATAGATAATAGGCTCAGCTCTTAAGCTTTGATTTTGAAATATTTTCTTCTCCAATTCTCATTGTTTATAGAAATTTTATGATCTATCCACTATTATGTTAATATTTTATTCATCACATTATTTTTTGTTGATAATCAAGCTATTAACGTTCTCTGATCGAATACTGAATTGCCTCCTTGTATCATTGAACTAATCATTCAATCCTAGGAGATCATCATGCTGATGTCTTCTGCTGTAGCTTGCTCTCACTAGCTTGTTTAGCCAGAAAATGGCTAGAAGAAATACCTATTACTGACCTGGGTTTTGTTTGTCAACCTTCCACAGTTGCAGGATATTAAGTTCATGGGCAGAAGGAAGGGTGGGAGAAGAGAAAGAAATTTGACCCACGCTGAGTGGTGCCAAACTGTTCCATCGCAACCTGATGTGATCTCAATGTCATTTATACCAATCACATCTTTACTTAGTGGAGTTAATGGGAGTGGATTTTTAACTCATGCTATAAACCTCTATCTCCGCTGTAAGCACAATTTTCTTAATAATTTGCTTATTTACTTTTGGCTTTAAAGCATATCAAATGGTTTTAATATATGTCAGTAGGTTAGAAATGCTTAACCTTTGGATATCAATATTATGTAAATAATCAAATCAACTTTTGTCAAATTAGAGTTCTGATGAGTATTTAGATCATGGTTGTTTTGTGTTGCAATGGTGAAGGGAGAAAGGAAGTTTTGATGGATTTTATAACCTTGATACTATCTGGTGACATTACTGGAACCAGTGACCTATCTCTGAAATGGAGAAGAACCTCAGATTTACCACCATTCAGATAAATATATATTTTGTTAAGCATCCTCAGATCATTTGATTATGATCTGAATGCTTGGAAATCTGTAATTGTTCTGTTCATGATAAATTATTTGCAGTGAAAATATATGTGATTCTTTTCAGGCAAAAAGTGATTTTTGTCATTCTACTATCTACTATTCGATCAATAACAAAATGAGTCAAGTGTAATTTTGACCTCGTGAGTAGTATGGGACTGGTGGAATGCTGTTGGAGGTTAAAATTAATTAATATTTAGACTTTTGCTAATGTAACTTTGTGAAAAATCATTAGGAATGATCATAGGGAAGTTACTGATCTAGCTATGTTTTCATTGTCATTGGAGGCTTATTACCTTGTTTGAAGTCGATTTCATTACATATATATCTGATTCTTAATCCGTTGAATCAAAAAAATTTAAACCTCCCTTCTGGTAAAACGAACCATCATTCATTGGAACTTCCCACTACAGATAAACCCCCGATTGAAGAACTGCATCAATTTTTGGAGTTCCAGCTTCCACGACAATGGGCTCCAATTTTTGGAGAGCTTGCCCTTGGTCCTGATAGAAAGCCACAAACTATGGCATCTTTGCAATTCAGTTTCATGGGTCCTAAGCTCCATGTAAACACAACGCCGGTAATGCTCCCGGTTTTATGTGAACCTTCTCTTCTCTTTTCCTTTGTTTTGTTTTGTTTCTTTTTTAAAAAAAAAATTGAGTTTTTGTTACTTTTTCTTTAACTTGTATATGTCGTCTTTGGTACTGGTGGGTAGTTATGCTAATAATGTCTGTGTCATTTAGCTGTCAGAAAGTAAGACCTTGATAGTTTGCATCTTTGATAAGCACATGTTTTTCAACGTATTTTGATGGATCATGCTGCATAATCGACATAGAAGAGGACCACAGCCATACTATGATCATCAGTTACTTTAGCATCTTGCCTCGCTTGTACATTCACCTTTTTAGAATCTCCTGCTTATGGTGTTTGAGGTCCAGCGGCTTAAAACAGTGTTTTCACCTTTAACTACCTCGATCATGCATCTTGATTGTATCATGAGTAAATTTGTCGTCTGGTGAGACAATGATGAGGGATGTGTTAGGTCGTTTAGTATTATGGAGCTGCCTTCTGGGGCCAGAGCGAGTAGTTCATGCTTGGTCTGTGTCAGATTTCTGGGTATCGGACATGTTTCTTCCTATTTTCAGAAATGATTGGTGGGGTGGGGTTGGATTGAATGAATGACAATTAATGCCACCATATCATGACTCAACTGTTTAGATTCAAAAGGATTGGCCTCTTGTTGTTGACTTCATTGATATCATCAAGTTTTAGAGATCTTTGTGATTTAGAGAGAGAGAGAGAGAGAGAGAGAGAGAGAGAAGAAAAAACCATTCTGATTTGTGCATTCTCTCAGATTTCTTGTTTAATATGTTGAAAAATGTTGTGATTTAGACTGACTTTGGATGAATTACTTGAAAAGGTTGATGTGGGCGAGAAACCTGTCACGGGCCTTCGATTATATTTAGAAGGGAAAAAAAGCAATCGCCTGGCAATCCATTTGCAGCATCTTTCATCACAGCCTCAGACATTCCTGCTTGAAAATGATAAGAATGGGAATGTCTTGAACGCCACGTTGGAACGCAAGTACTTTGAGAAGGTTCAATGGAAGAGTTTCTCCCATGTGTGCACAGCCCCAGTTGAACCATATGAGGATACCTCCATAGTTACCGGTGCATGCTTTGAAGTCAGAGACCATGGCCTGAAGAAAGTTCTATATCTCAGACTTAAGTTTGCCAAAGTCATCGGCGCAACCAGTGTCAGAGCTGCTGACTGGGACGGTTCACCCGGCTTGACTCACAAATCCGGAATGATCTCAACCCTGATCAGCACTCGCTTCTCATCCGCACAGAAACCGCCACCTAGCCCAGCCGATGTGCACATAAACTCTGCTTTATACCCTAATGGACCTCCTGTGCCTACTCAAGCACCAAAGCTGTTGAAGTTTGTTGATACTACAGAGATAACTAGAGGACCACAGGACTCACCAGGCTATTGGGTTGTGTCTGGGGCAAGGCTGTTAGTGGAGAATGGTAAAATATCACTGAAAGTGAAGTACTCTCTTTTAACTGTTATTCCACCCGATGAAGAGGGTGGAAGCTATTGAGAATTTTACACTGTGAGACGCAGATAGCTTTTGTATATAGTACAAGTGTCTGATTCTATTCCATTGTACATTTTCAAATTTTTATGTGTTCATTATAGGTTATTGCTTGATATTTCTCGTTGCCATTATTTGTAAACTTCAGATGAAGATTTTTGTGGGGTTCCTTAATGTAATTATGGCCTGCTCATATTTTTGATTCTGTTCATTTAGTACAGAACATAGATCTGGTCAGTTAGTCAACGTAAATTACACGCTTTGGGTCAATCTATGAGGGTAATAGTCGCTTAATGGTGGGATAAACAGAGTATTAGGTGAATGTAACATCATAAGAGCTTGTTAAAAGATAAAACTTATCTTAAATATGCACTAAATTCTAAATCTATACCTACAATAATGCCCACACCTTTGTGACACCTTCCTGCAGGGTCTGGACCCCACAGCCTGAGCATGGCCATACACTTATGTCTCACCTAACTCATTTGCAGCCTACTTCCGCAATTATTTGCTTCACCTACTTGACCTCAAACGCCAACAAATTCTTGTTTATGGCAGTGATGAAGCCAAGGGTAGGTTTGTATAATCAAGAACCATTCATATATATCATGCAGATGCCCAAGTAATCACGAAATTTGACAAAACAGGACAAGGCAGGCCTTCAAACGGGAAGAGACACCTGAAAAGGACATGATGAAGCCGTCTGAAAGCTTACAATAATTAAAACAAAACATTTCTAAATCTTAAAATTGATTTTCAAAATCATCCGGTGAATTTTGAGGGCTTCTTATTTCTTTTTCTGATTCCCCTTACCCTATCCTTAAAATCTTCTATGACCAATGGCCGACGTTGATTGGAATCTACTATTACGTAGGTTAACTATCTGATAGCTGCAGATCTGATAATAACCACGAAAACCAATGACAATGGGCTTTGAGGGTCCACGTTAAAGATGTTTTAAAACATTTCAACAACATTTCTCATCAAAGAACCACGCACGTTTTATCGCGTACTTGATAGCTCAAGGTTTCGGAGCTTAGAGAGGGAGGCATGGAGAATATTGAGAAGAGCAAAATGATGATAGTCGGAGCACAGGTTATCTTGGGGATTACATGGTGAGGGCAAGCCTTTCCTTGGTTCATCCTACTTTTGCTTATATTCGTCCCATCCACACTTCCTCTCAGCTTTTCAAACTCCATCATCTTCAATCTCTAGGCGTCACCGTCTTCCAAGTAATTATCTTTCTCTTTAGTCTTCTCTTACGTTGCATGTTCATGTGATATATATGTATATATATGTATTAATCTGTAAAATTCATTCATTGTCATGCATATATAGGGGGAGTTAGATGAGCAGGACAAGCTAGTCTCTTGTCTTCAACAGGTTGATGTTGTCATTTCCACAGTGGCTGTTCCTCAGCATCTGGAGCAACTCAAGCTAATCAAGGCCATCAAGCAAGCTGGCAATATCAAGGTTTCTTATGCACATGATATTTACCATACGTATCTGACAACAACGTACGAGTATTGAGAATATAGTTATCATGTTGTTTTATGACAGGGATTTGTTCCCTCAGAATATGGAAACGAAGTGGACAGACTGCAGGGGCTTCGACCATTCGAGGATGCTCTTGAAAACAAGAGGAAGATGAGAAGGGCAACAGAAGAAGCAGGAATCCCCTACACTTACATCTCCGCTAACTCATTTGCAGCCTACTCCATCAATTATCTGCTTTAGCCACATGACCTCACACCAACAACACATTCTTGTCTATGGTACTGGTGAAACCAAGGGTACGTTTGTATAATCAAGAATTAACCATTCACAATACTACCTCCGGTCCTAATTATAAGACCTAGTTGACTAATTTGAGGAGATTAAGGAAGTAAGCTAAGTTAGTTATTTGTAATAAATAAGTATTGTCATTCCTAAAATATCCTTGCTAATTAAGTGTATTGGCTAGAATTATCATTATTAGAAGGACTATTTTAGAAAAAAATGCATAAATATGAGAGACAAAATGAATTGGGATCTTATAATTAGGACCAAACAAAAAGTCAAACGGGGTCTTATATTAAGGACCCAAGGTAGTATATAATATATATATATATATATATATATCATGCAGATATACACCAAACTAATCACGAAACTTGAGGTATTTAAATTATGAGGAAGATGTGGCATTTTGCACTGTGAAAGCTGCGACAGATGAAAGAGCAGAAAACCGTGTGGTTACCATTAGACCTGAAGTGAACATATGTCTCAGTTGGAGTTGATAACTTTGTGGGAAAACAGGACAAATTGTACCTTTAAACGGCAACATATACTTGAAAACGGGGTCAATCAGTGTGGAAGTACGATATATTAATGATTCTTCTTGTGATCCCCATTATGAGAACTCTGTTTCTTAGTTCTGGCTCCTGTGGGATTGGATGCCTGATTTTTGAAAATTAATAAAATTAGTTAAATCAATTATTTTAAAAAAATATGTTGATTTTTTTAAAATACTTTTTAAATCATTTGTATAAAAACTACCTATCGATAGAATTATCTCCTTAATATGTGCAATAATAAGAATAGTTTATGAACAAAATTATAAATTTAGAAGCTGAAATAAATCGAAATCTTACATTCAAAACCAAAACAACCCTCTTAGCTAACTTTACTCAGAACTGAAGGAAATTTTATTTTTTTTCTATTTAATAGTATTCAAAAAACTGTATAATTTTCTAACTAATTGAATAAAGTTCTTTAACTAATGAATTCTATAGAGAAAAATTTTGAAATTTTACAACAACAAAAAAAATTCCAACGAGAAGACGGCGGGCATGCTTTTGGCAACCTTAATGGCAGTTGTTCCCTTAGCTTTAGGCTTGGAGCTTTCGGCTTTAGGCTATTGTTTGCTTTTCTTTTTGGGCTTATACTCTTTTAGTTTTCATGAAATTTTGACTTTATCAAATTTTTTTTAAAAAAAAAGAAGTTAAAATAAATGGCCTGATTCTGTGTACTTTTTTTTTTCTTTTATAGATCCGGTTTTTTTTAAGCATAATATGACGTATTTGCGTCTTTCATACTTTTCTTCATTTTTATACTCTTCTTCAATTTATGGATATATCTTTCAATAAATAATAAATTCAATAAACAATAAAATAGTCATATCGCAATTTAGCCAATAACTTTGTCTGAGTTTGAAGTTTTCATATAGCTATACTTCAAAACATATTCGTGAGAGGGGCACAAACGATGTTTGAATTGAAGCCTGAGGATCTAGAAGCTTCCAAGTTATATCCATTCCTGACTGCAAATGCACCTGCCTTGATGCCCTCCTCCATCTGTTCTCGGCTAATCCTCCACCCCCAAAATTAGCTAAATTTGATTGAACAATACCTATTGCGTGTGTGTTTCTCTGTGTACTTTGGATTTTTTATCTGTAAAAATTCTCATCATCTCATTCGGTTTGGGAGTTATGTTTACTGTATATTTTTAATTTTTAATTGTGGTATTATCAGTATCACCCATCTAAATTATAAAATTTATAATATATAAAAAAAGAATACTTGCATCAAGTTCCTTATATCAATTGTGTCAAGTTCTCTAATCACACATGATCATGTGTCCTATTTTTAAAATATTAACATTTAATAAAATTTAATTATAAATCCATATGAAACCAAAAAAAAAAAAAGAACACATGCCAGTAGAAAACTTATCATAATAGATATAAGCAACTTGACTTAAGTTTTTTTTCTATATAAAATATGATACTATCCATAAGTTATTATTTTCTCCCCAGTCTTAAATATAATATCTAATTTTACAAATCAGGTCTTGTATTTAAGGCATGAGAGAGCCATAAGTTGTTACCGTATCCTCAGTCTTAAATGCAAATCTAATTTTATAAATTAGGTCTTTTATTTATATTTAAAAGGTGAGATAGAAATAACGGAAAACTATTTACCTCAGCCTGTACTCTGTCTGTAACTGCCAGTGCTCCTATAGAAATAACGAAAAACTATTTACCTCAGCCTGTACTCTGTCTGTAACTGCCAGTGCTCCTATAGAAATAACGAAAAACTATTTACCTCAGCCTGTACTCTGTCTGTAACCGCCAGTGCTCCTTCTGTCAACCCCAAAATGGATCACAGGAAGCGCAGATGAAATCATGTTGAAGTAAATATCTTTGCTTCTCTGCTATTGTCTCTCAACGTAAGTTCCATCCTATCAAAATCCCAGCTTTTACTAAACCCTTGATTCATACTTTCTTGCTTACAAGTTGCAGCGTATTTTGCTTACCGATAGATTGTTAGTAATGGCGGGTGAGCAACTGTGTTTTGAGAAGACTTCATTGTAGACCTCAACCCAGCAACATCAATGGCAGCGCCACTCTTAATTAAAGCAAGAAAAACAAGCTGGGCCGAGCCGAACTCGTTAGGCTGACCCACTTATGTCCAAAAATTATGAGGGTCAGGGTTAGAATTTTTTCTTTCAAATAAAAAACAGACTTAAAAGGACTGGTCTTATAGGGTCGAGGACTTAAACAGGCTGATCTTGTAGGGCCAAGGGTTAGCCTGTTTAGGCCCTTTTATGATTTTTTTTATTTTTAAAATATTTTTGTATAATTCTAATATTATTGATTTTTTATATTGTTGATGATATTTCAAAATTTAATTATTATTATCATTTTAAAATTAAATTTTACAGAATGGGTTGATTTATTTGGTTTTAGATAATAATTTGTCCCATTATATTTTAAAAAATTGGTTAATTTGGATTTTAATAATGATTTGATTTATATTATACGTGTTAATATTTTTAAACTATATATATTTGATAAGAGAGTATAAAAATACTTATATAACTTGTGATTTTATAATTTGAATTAGAAATTTATGAGTTTCAACAATAATGCTTCTTAAACTAAAGTAAAATAATAGCTAAACTACCAAATTTAAAAATGAAATTCCTATAAAAAAAAAAGACTTAATATTTTTGCTACAAAAGAAGAGTAATTAATTATAATGATGATAGAGTTTCAAAATATTAATGATAATGTTTGTCTATTACACATTTGTACTATTGATGAAACTTTTAGATGTTATTATCTTATTGTTAATAGATGTTTTAGATGTTCTTGGATGTTAATAGATATTTAAATATGATGATATTTTGTATGTGACTTAATTTTATTCATATTTATGTCTTTTATTAATAATTTCATTAGTTTGTTTTTATTTTTTGATTAAAAATGTGAGAAATGTGAAAAAATATTTTTTTTTCCTTAAACAGGTCAAAAGTCAGCGGGCCGGCCTTGAGCTTATCAGTTTAAGGACTGAATCTAACAAATTGAGATATTTTTTAGATTTTGACTATGTAGGACTAGTCTTTTTAAGCTCGTTAGACCTGCAGGACCTACTCGTATTCCCACCACTACTTTTAATGGCCAAGCGTTGAAGTCCTGATAGATGTTCTGCAACATATTTTTCGACCCTCCATATTGGACCAAACCATTTTTATTGGCGTATAACCAAGCTTCCCAATTAAGCTACTAGACTAATTAAATAAGAAATAATAATAATAATAATATCAGAGTACAGAATCTGCCATTAGTTGGTTGGATTACCTAATTAGGTCAGCTATCTAATTAAATACTACTTCCGATCCTAAATATAAGAACTAATTGATTAATTTGAATAGATTAAGAAAATAAGTTAAACAAGTTATTTGTAATAAATAAGTGTTTTCTTTCTTAGAATATCTTTACTACTCAAGTTTATTAGTTAGAACTAATATTATTATAAGGACTATCTTAAAAAAATAGATAAATATGATAAATAAGGGGAATTATGATCTTATATTTAGGACTAAAATAAAAATCAAATGAAGTCTTATATCAGAGATAATATAATATAAATTAAAAGGCTAAAGTACATCTAGTACCCATGAAGTATTTTTTTAAGTACATCTAGGATCTCGAAGTATTTTGTGATATATCAAGCATCCCAAAATATTTTTTAGGTGCGTCTAGCACCCTGAAATATTTTCTTTGCCTTGGTGCTAAATGTATTAAAAAATATTTTTGAGTAGTAGACGCATATAAAAAACAATTTAAGATACTGAATGCACCAAAAATTAGTTCATGGTGCTTGACGCACTTATAAAAATATTTCAAAGTGTTAAATGCACCACAAAGACTTTAGGATGATAAATATATCTGAAAAATATTTCGGGGTGTTGGATGCATATTAACACTAAATTAAATAAGTGGTTTAATATATATTATCCTAATAATACAATATTATAGATATATGAAGACTTAAGTGAGTTTAAATTTAAATTTTGTTGTAATACTAAAGAAAGAATATAGAAAAAAAAAAAGAAAATTAGAGAGAAGAAAAGACAAGAGTGTTTCTTATTCCATTCAAAGTATTGAATATATGATACATGCCCTCTCTTTATTTATAAATTTTACAACTTTGATAGAATCTACAAATTACATAATCATAAGAGATAATTATGGGATGATGGACATAATATAAGATATTAAAAATAATAGGAGAGATATCGACATCCACACAAATATTATTATATTTATAACAAACTCTTATACTATCTCCGGTCCTTAATATAAGAGCTAGTTGACTAATCTGAGTAGATTAAAAAAGTTAATTAAGTTAGTTATTTGTAATACATAGGTTTTTTTCCTAAAATATCTTTACTAATTAAGTATATTGGCTAACACTACTATTATTACAAAAGCTATTTTGAAAAAAAAATAGATAAATATGAGAAACAAAATAGATTAAAATCTTATATTTATGATTAAAATAAAAATCAAATGAGTTTTTATATTAAGAATCGAAAGTAATATTTTAAGTGATGATTGTTTAGTATAATTTGTTTTTCCAAAATATGGCCGCGCATTTCTGGAGCTACTCAGGTTTAGACCTGTAATATGAATCTTACCCGGTACGCACTCATTCTCACTCATTCCTAATTGTTTTTATTTTTCCTGATAGTCCTTGTCTGCATGATGGAATGTCTCAATCCGGCATCCGCATTGCATTGCTCTGTGGGGCTCCAAATTTGCTTTAAGAGCTGCAAGATTGATGTATGACAAGACACAATGGACAAAAGAGGTAAAAGAAAGACAAATCCAGACTTTGATTTTATAATTTTATAATAGAACAAGCGGTTATTTTTTTCTCAAAAGTCATTTGAAGAAAAGAGAGCATCTTACTTGGCTGTGCTTGTGGTAACTGGAACCAGCCAGTGTAATGTTCTCTCGGTCTCCTCTTGATATTTTCTACAGTGAACTGTAGGCAACAGAGCATCCATTCCAGCCAGCCACAGAGCAAAAACACAAACACTAGGAAACTTAATATAGGAGAAATCCTACATTTTCTATCTCAGGTGGGAAGAGGAAAGCCGAAACCACAAGAAACAACAAGTTTTAAGACTTTCCTTAGCATTCAGGTAATTATGATGTTTGATTTGATAATAGAATAAAGTAGTAGCAGATGAGATCATACATTTTCCACAACATGAACAGATGGCTTAAATACCCTCATAATTATTATTTAAAAAAAATGTGGCTTTCATTACAGAACTCAAGGGCAAGTAAATGAACCTGCAGTGCTAAAGGCATTATTTATGTCCAAATGCAAAAGAAAAAAAGGGCAATGTCTGCAATCCAAAAGACGTGAATAGAACTGAACCCACCTGAGACAGACATAGAGCAAAGGAGAATATGACTTTTCTCTTCAGATGCTTAACTTGCTTCTTTTTTTGACTTTTCAGTCCTGCCCCTTAGATTGCGTGCTTAGCACCTATATGACTGTGTCACAATTTTCAGCAACAAAGTCAATCTCTGCAATTTGCGAGCAAGGTCCTAGAGAGCTCCACAAACAAGAGTTTATCTAGAAACAACGAAAATAAAATGCCCAAAAACACTCCAATGACTTCAAGGTTTATTTATTAGTCAGGACATTTTTCAATTCTTGACTACAAATTTAATAACATATTACTAGCATCCTGGAATTGAATCCTCTTTTTGCCCAACAAATGTGAAATTTATGATATTCTAGGTTATCCCCCACAATAGAAAGCAATTTGTACACAAAATAGAATGATTCAATCCATTGCATACAGACGGTAGGGTTCAAACACTCAGCCATTCTCCGTTTAGACGAATATAATAGTCACAGAAGTAAATTGAATCTTCTGTTTGCCCAAAAAATGATCCAGTGAATCTTGGCGGTTTCTTATCTGATTCCATCACGCTATGCCAATGGCTGACATTGATTGTAGTCTTATACTATGTTGGTCAAGTATGGAGCGGTCTCAATCTGATGGCTACAGATATGATAATACTACGTACCCAGTAACACCAATGAGTTTGAGGATCCATGTTAAAGATACTCATGGGATATTGCCTTTATAAAGGTTGGTTTTTGCATTAAAAGAAATCAAAGATTCGGGTTTTACTGAGAGGGAAGCATGGAGAATATTGAGAAGAGCAAAATAATGATAGTAGGAGCAACAGGTTATCTTGGGGATTACATGGTGAGGGCAAGCCTTTCCTTGGGTCATCCTACTTTTGCTTATATTCGTCCAATTCACACTTCCTCTCAGCTTTCCAAACTCCATCATCTTCTATCTCTAGGCGTCACCGTCTTTCAAGTAATTATCTTTCTCTTTAGTCTTCTCTTACGTTGCATGTTCATGTGATATATAGATATATATGAATCTGTAGAGGGCGAACCTTGGAGCAACAATAAGGTGGTTGTACTATCCCACCCATTATATCTATGAATCTGTAAAATTCATTCATTGTCATGCATATATAGGGGGAGTTAGATGAGCAGGAGAAGCTGGTCTCTTGTCTTCAACAGGTTGATGTTGTCATTTCCACGCTGGCTGTTCCTCAGCATTTGGAGCAACTCAAGCTAATCAAGGCCATCAAACAAGCTGGCAATATCAAGGTTTCTTATCAGTTACTGTTACATATGCATCTATACACACACACACACCCACACACCCACACACCACACATATCTGACAAGAACGTGCGAGTATTGACAATATAGTTACCATGTTGTGTTATGACAGAGATTTGTTCCCTCAGAATATGGAAATGAAGTGGATAGAGTGAAGGCGCTTCCACCATTCGAGGCTCTTCTTGAAAACAAGAGGAAGATAAGAAGAGCAACAGAAGAAGCAGGAATCCCCTACACTTATGTCTCCGCTAACTCATTTGCAGCCTACTTCATCAACTATCTGCTTCACCCACATGATCTCAAATGCCAACACATTCTTGTTTATGGCACTGGTCAAGCCAAGGGTACGTTTGGATAATCAAGAATAAAACCATTCATTTATACAAGATATATATATATATATATAAAACACTGATGCATACCTAAGTAATCTAAAACTCGAGATATTTATACACACACATTAAAATGCATTTCAGCTGTATTGAATCATGAGGAAGATGTGGCATTTTACACCGTGAAAGCAGCAACAGATAAGAGAGCAGAAAACCGAGTGGTTATCATTAGACCTGAAGGGAATATTATCTCCCAGTTGGAGTTGATAACTTTATGGGAAAACAGGACAAATCGTGCCTTTAAACGGCAACATATACCTGAAAAGGAGATGATCAAGCAGTGTGAAAGTAAGATATAATAATCCTTCCTCTGCTTCTTATTATGAGGACACATTATAAGTTTGTTATGTATCGATGTGTGATATACATTCCAAGTTATTTGAGAGAGTGAAGTTAAAATCAATGGTTTGGTGTTTTGGGGTTGCAGCGCTGGATTTTCCAGAGAATATACGTGTGGCTATACTTCACAACGTGTTCGTGAAAGGAGCACAAACGATGTTTGAATTGAGCCCTGAAGATGTGGAGGCTTCCAAGTTATATCCTGACCACAAGTACACTTGTGTTGAGGCTCTCCTCGATGTGTTCTTGGCTAATCCTCCGCAGCCAATAGTAGCTAAATTTGCATGAACAATCTGCCTCCCTGCATTTCAGGTTGTGTTTCCGTGTACTTGGATTTTACCTATAAAAATCATGATATTAAAATCCAATCCGATCCACAGATCACACCAGTAATGTGAACTAGTTTCACACGAATATTTCATGTTTTTCTTCTCTTGTTGAGTACTCTTCTGGTTCTAAATATAAAATCTGTAAATTATATTACAAAATGAATCTTATATTTAGGATAAAAGGAGTATGAAATAATGTCATTTTGAGTTAATAAAAATAATGAATAAATAGCAGTATAATTTATTTTTTCTTCTCATGTTGGATTACGTGTGGTTTGTACATGAATGTTCTATTTATATATAAATATGTGCCTTTTTTATTTAAATGTTACTCTTTCTTAAGATTTTATATAGATATTTTTATATAATTTAATTAGATTATATTATTTTAATTGTGATTGGGTTGACCCCAATGCAACTGGGATTAGATTACTCATCTTTAAACCATTGCTTCAACCAATTCAATGAATGGTGCAATTTTTAATATCTTCGTAGAAACGTCATTATACTAATTATCGTATAATTTTATCGTGGTATCATCACTTAGGTAAATTGTAAAATATATAAAATATAAAATACTACCTCCGGTCTTAATTATAAGAGCTAATTGACTAATTTAAGGAGATTAAGGAAAGAAGTTAAGTTAGTTATTTGTAATAAATATGTATTTTTTTTCCTAAAATATTCTTGATAATCAAATGTATTGGTTAGAATTACCATTGTTAGAAGGACTACTTTGGAAAAAATACATAAATATGAGAGACAAAGTAGATTGAGGTCTTATATTTAATATCAAAATAAAAATCAAACAAGGTTTTATATTAAAGACCGGATGGAGTATGTTACTATCCATAAATAATTAAATTATTCAATAAAATCAACGAAATTACACACACATCAAAATTTCATTAGTTAGGATCTAGATTTCAGAAAAACAGGCATCATATAAGTGCCATAGCCTGATACTGCATGTAAACTCAAATGTGTTTGGAGGGGCCTTCAACTTTGCTTGCAAGCTCTAGCTATTATTATAAGCAGTCGTTAATAATTTTATAATCAAGTGATATGAAAGTTTCATTATAAGTGGGACCTTACAGGTTTGACTTCGTTTATAATCTCTAGCTATTATTATTTGTCCCTCTAAATGAAAATATAAAATACACACAGATATGTATAGAAGCAGCCCAAAGGTTGATTGAAAAACAACTTCATTCGGCGTACACGCCAAAAAATAAACGCGTTCAGCAGAAGAATTCGCAATCCACCCAACTCCAACCAAAGCCCAAAGGGGGCAGTGCAATGATTAAACTAGTTTTTTTACGGGCTCAGATTTAAAAGGGCAAAAAAAGAAGAAGGAAAATTTGTCATAAATATCTGTGCCTATGATTCACATTAGGTTGATATGCTCATGCATCTATTCCTTATCTGGCACAAGGCTAAATCTTTCATTTTATTTAGCAATCACGTCCGGTGAATATGGCCATTTTGGCTTGGCTCTCAAAAATACCTGCAGCATCAAAATGGTATAATTAAGGAAGAGAAGCCGCCCCACTTGTGCCTCCTTGTATTATCCTTCCAATGTTTCAATGGAAGTCATGAATACCTGAGAAATATTTACCTCACTATCTCTACTCTGTCTATAACATCCAATGCTCTCTCTCTGTCAACACCAAAATCAATCACAGGAAGCTTAGATGAAATCCTGTTGAAGGAAATATCTTTGCTTCTGCTTGAAGAAAGACTCCAACTTTTGGTGAGTCTGCTATTCTCTCTCAACCTAGCTTCCATCCTATCAAAATGCCAGCTTTTACTCAACCCTTTAATCCACACTTTCTTGCTTACAAGTTGCAGCATGTTTTGCTCACTGATTGTCAGTAACGGCGGGTGATCAGTTGTTGCTGGCTGATGTGGTTTTCGTGGGGGAGCCAGATGAGAAGACTTCATTGCAGACCTCACTCCAACAACATCAATGGCGGCTCCACTTTTAATGGCCAAGCGTTGAAGTCCTAAGAGAAGTGCAAGAACATATTTTTCCACTTTGTCCTTATCTGCATGATGGAATGTCTCAATCCTCATTGCATTGGTCCGTGAGGTCTTCAAATTTTCCTCAGAGCTGCAAGATTGATATGTGAGAAAACAGAATGGACAATAGAGGTAAAGGAAAGACAAGCAAATTTAGATATTATAAAATTATAAATTTATAATAGAACAAGCAGTTATTTGTTACTCACCCAGTGCTAGCCCACTCCCCAACCCAGCCAAAACCATGATGCGCTCTGATAAGATTATTGTTAAACAAACAAATTAGATCGATGCTTAAAGAAGTCTCACTCAAAAGTCATTTGAAGAAAAGACAGGCATCGTACTTGGCTGTGTTTGTGGCAATTGGAACCAGCCAGTGTAATGTTTTCTGGATCTCCTCTTTGATATCTTCTACAGTGAGCTGTAGGAAAAAGAGCATCCAGCCAGCCACAGAGCAAAAACACAACACAAGGAAACTTAATATAGGAGACATTCTACATTTCTACTTTAGGTTCAAAGAGGAAAGCTGAAAGCACAATAAAGAGCAAGTTTTAAGACTTTCCTTGGCATTCAAGTAATTGTCATGTCTGCTGTGATAAAAGAATGAAATAGTAGCGGATGAGAACGTACGTCTTCTGCAACATGAACATATGGTAATTTGGAACGCAGAACTAATTTTATGTTAGGTGGCAAGCTCTGGTATAATCCCTCCCTTGTGTTTTCAGGCATCGAACTAGATTTGGCAACCTGACAGTGTCAACATTGGCAGCTAAGGCATTGGTTAGAATGAGTATGAACCAAAGTAAGGAATAAAAATATAAATATAGCACTGCCATTTCAATAAGAGCACCGACATTCATGTATAAACTTTAAAGCTAAGGATAAACTGGCCATGGATCAACTTTTGGTGCAACAAAATGAATAAGTAATAGATAAGAAAGAAAGAAGAAATTTGATGCTCATACGCAATGCGAGAAGAGCCAACAAAAACTTATTTTATTTTCATTTGGCTGAAGATATCAAAACCCTATAATTAAGAAGACGGTCAATAAGAAGTAAATATTAGACAGAATTCACTTACAAGAGTATCAATTTGGAGCACTATGTTTGCATAATGTAAAGCAAGGCCAGAAGGGCCTAATCTTTGGCGATTGTTTACATATACAATTGCTGGTTTTTGACGATCTGCAAGCACCCATGGATAAACACCCTTATAATTATTTTTTTCAAAAAAATGTGGCTTTCATTACAGAACTCAAGGGCAAGTAGGTGAACCTGCAGTGCCAAAGGCATTGTTTATCTCCAAACGCAAAACAAGGGCAATATCTACAAGCTTCTTCATTATCTGTAATCCAATAGATTATGAATACAACTGAAGCCACATGAAACAGGTATGAAGCAAAGGAGAATATAAGATACACATTCATCTAAAGCAACCACCAAAAGTTACCTCCTCCAAACTGCATGACCAAAGTGACTTTTTCTTCAAATGCTTAACTTGCTTCTTTCGACTTTTAAGTCCTGCCCCCGAGATTGTGTGCTTATCAACTATATGATTTAATCGCAATTTTCAGTAACAAAGCCGATCTTTGCAATTTGCAAGCAAGGTCCTAGATAGCTCTACAAACAAGAGTCGCATATAGGTCATTAGTATTCTACAATAACCTCTTTGACTTGCGCCTGATTTTTGCTCCTCTAGACGTTTACGCAGACCATCTTGCTCAGATCTATCCAAAGCGTGTAGCCCATGGTATAATTCCTGACGCAATTTAAAAAATTATTTCCCAAATCCTTCTAGAATAAATAACTAATAAATAACTTGGCAAAACCAAATTTTGCTAGTAATTTATCATTGGAAAAATAGAAGACTCATTTGAAGAAAACATAAAAAGTAACAAGAGCTCCGCTATTTGAAGTGACAGAAACTACAGCATATTTGAACTGACAATAGATGGTAGCAATTGAGTACAGAACAGCGTGTGTGGAACACAGAGAAACTACAATGGACAAAAACACTCCAATCACTTCAAAGTTTATTATTCAGGGCATTTACCAATTATTTGGCAACAAAATTAATTCATCATGTTATGGTGCTGATAGAAACTAGCATCCTGAAATTGAATCCTCTTTGTTTGCCCAAAAAATGTGGAATTTATGATATTTTAGTTTATCCCCACAATTGAAAGCAATTTGTACACAAAACAGAATGATTCAATCTATTGTAGACAGATGGTAGGGTTCAATCATTCACCCATGTTCCTTTAGACGAATATAATACTCACAGCGGTAAATTGAACCGAAGTCATCAATTGCTGCATTATCAATTCTGCCCCATCATTGGATTGTCTTTGGGAATTATGTTCTTTGCCAATTCTGGAATGCACAATGAACAGGATCCTAGTGAAAAAAGAAAGAACTTGAAAGAACTAAGTGAGTGCAATAAATAATTTTTATTACTTCTCAAAGTAACGGTCCATGTTGTGCCACTGAGGATCCTTTGAACGATTTCCAAAACGAACCACCTCATCAGAAAAAATTTTCAACTCCTCCCTGTAGAGATGGTCCAATAAGCAATTAAATTGACATCTGATCGTGTCATGGTATAAAAGGATAAGAAATGACCTGATTGTTTGAACAAGAAGTCATTCATATGAATTCTGACTCAACCCAAAACTTGCCTCTTGTCTGCCGCAACAATTTGAAGAAGCTCATCCACGTCCTTTGACACTAAATCTTTCACAGCCTTGGAAAGAAACAACTCTTCTTTCAAAAGTTTTATGTTTTTATCAGAAAGTGATTGCATAAGATTAAAGCCTTTGACGACAGTGTTTGCAACCTCAAATGCCAAGATACCAATTTCATTCCCTTTTGTTGAAGCTCCAGAAACAAATCCACTGCCAGCATTTAAACTTGTCATGCTGCTACCAAGATTGTCCAAGACCTCCACTGCCTTCCCAAATCCAACTGTACCAGCCCTCCCTAGACGTGAGCTCACTTCTGAGACCTGAAATAGAAAGGTCAAAACACTTACTGGCGCTGTCAAATATAATAGCACTGACTACCTAATGATCGGAGTGAAATACAGATAACTTGCGTATTAATCTTCATTATCATGTCCAGTTTTTATCCCAACGAGAGAACGTTCTAAAACTACTAACAGCATACAAAAACATTTGAAATTGACAACGATAAACCAACCTTTTGCCTTGACCTTACTGACAAAGACTTGAGCAGAAAAGAATCAGCAAATCGTGGGATTCCATCATAGAATTCATCCGGACTTGCATCTGCACTAATCCCTCTATTTTCAGCAGGTTCTTGCAAGTTATCCACTTTCTGAGGTGAGGTTTTGAGCTTGCTAGGCATGTTAGGTTGGCCATCCTTATTAGATTTATTATCATCAAAATGGTCAACCGTCTGGGCAAGCACTTTGTCATCATTGCCTCGCCTCGAACAAAAAGCCCCCATAGCTTCAGATAACCAGAGCAAAAATTGAACTTTGACAGAGGTCATCCATGACAGTGATAAATACAGAACACCCGGAGTGTGTCTGTATTCGTCTTCCTTGATAATGGGTTTGATGTGAAGGACAAAACAATATAGGAAGACTGAGAGAAAGAGAAGGGGGGTCTGGCGTTGGAGTTAGACCTGTGGGAGAAGGCTTGACGCTTGGAAAATGAGGAAGAAAATGTCCAAAGGAAACATCCGAATGGGCGCCAAGAAAATATAAGACGACAACACCAAAGAAGAAGCAGAAGGGAATTCAACTTTTTTTAGTAACAAAGAAGAACAACAAAAGAAGACAATTTCAAAGTAGGAAGATGAAGATTGCTGCGTTGTGTTAAGGTCAGGCGAGGAGGAATTACTCGGCACACAATGAGAATGCTATTTTCCTATTTCTCTTCTTTCCTTCCTTCTGTACAATGCGTAAAATCCTCGCTATTCAACTATTCAACTATTACGGTTTTGGTCCAGCAGAAGGGCAGTTCCTTTTGGTCCTCGCTAAAATTCAAATTCTCAGGTATGCACAGCGTATATAATACCTCAAATAAGATTATTTCTAATAAAAAAAATACTATACTTTAGGGGGAAAAATATTCAACCATTTTGTCAAATCGCCTTGTAACGGAATGATTGATTAAACTCTTAACTACTAGATCAAATAAACCTTGATCAGGTCAAAAAAAAAAAAGATCAAATAAACCTTGACATTTATTTCTAATCTTTAAATAAACCAATATAAAAAATGGGCAAAGTATTTTTTTTAAAGTGAGATTTAAAAAGAGTCTTCTTGTTAGCTTTCCTCTTCCTTTCAATATAATTTTCTATTAACCTTTTTTATATTCTTACTATTTACATTCTCGCACTTTTTTCTTCACTTCGTATTTTTAGCTTTGGACATAATAACATAAAAGATTCAACCATTTCCTTCTTTCTTTTTATTTATTAGGAAAAACCATATTGAAGGTACCTATACTTTCTCTCAATTTTTAATTTGGTACCTATGTGTTTTTTTTCCTTTAATTAAACATTTAATTTTATCTTTTTAGCAACATTAGCTCTTATAACTTTGTTCTATTGATATTTTTGGTCTCTACATAAGGATTAATGATGTTAATAGAGCAAAATTAAAGATTTAGTTAAGAACAAAAAAACACATAGGTACCAAATTGAAAATTGAAAAAAAAGTATAAGTACCTCCAATATGGTTTTCCCTATTTATCATTATCATCTATTCTTTTTGTCCTTTTTTTGGGCTTGAATCCAAATGGTCAATCACGCCCCCACTTTGACATGTCAAAGACACAACACCGGTTTTCTTTTTGTAGGAGGGAAATGGATAGAAGGAAGGAGGAGGAAAAAAATTTAATAAGTTGGATTTAAAATTTTTTTAAAAATTTTATTGCCATTATTTTTCTATCTTACGTTTTCTTTTTATTAAAATTCTAAAATCTTTTTTTTAGTTTTTTACATAAAGCTAATTAAATTTTTTTTCCCTTTTCTTCCCTCCACTTCTCTTGTACCAAACAGTACCTCTATTCTTCTGAATTACCTCCATATATTGAACTTAAATGCTAGGCCGGAAGGGGGGAAAAAGCTTAAATGATGGATCTTTTGTTAGTTTGATACGTGCATTTATTATTAATTTCTCAAAAATTATTAACAACATACTCTATATGATTTTTGTGCATAAATATACAATAATTTCATGTGATTGCATTTAGAAAATTAACATTTATCTTATTTTTATCGAAGGATTTAAAATAAATAAATAATAACAAACCGGAACATTTCCTGTGCACGGTGGGCAGGTAATTCAAAATTTCTAAGAAATTCAAAAAATCAAAATATGAACATCTTGCAACTTTTTTTTTTTGGAGGATGTACAGCAGTAAATTGGATCCCGTACTACCTCCGGTCCTAATTATAAGACCCAATTGACTTATTTGAGGAGATTAAGAAAGTAAGTTAAATTAATTATTTGTAATAAATAAGTGTTGTCATTCTTAAAATATCCTTGCTAATTAAGTATATTGGCTAGAACTATCATTATTAGAAGGATTATCTTGGAAAAAAAATGTATAAATATGAGAGACAAAATGGATTAGGGTCTTATAATTAGGACCAAACAAAAAGTCAAATAGGGTCTTATAATAAAGACCGGAGGTAGTACTAAATACATTTTTTTATTTAAAAAAAATTGTGGACCTTTTCAGTCTAAATTTTATCAACGCATCCGGCAATGAGAATTCTGAGTCTTGTTGACCGAACCGAATTTTTTTTATTTTTTTGACCAAATGAATAAAAGTACATTCATTCATTGATAAAAGACGACAGAGGAACCAACTAGTATTAGTCTAAGTGGAAAAGACTTAGACATTTTAAACATCATGTTCTGGATTTGATTCTTGAAACGATGCGTATGGAACAAATACTGTTGAAAGGAATCTTTGCTACAATGCCTGACAGTACCTCGAGAGATTAGTCTCTCATCGTTCGAGTAGGAGGATATTCTGGACAACAAAATTAAAAACGACAGAGAAAAGCCCCAAAATTAGATCCAAGTTTTTTTATTTTCCTGAAAAAATTAGATTGAAGTTTGACCGCACCAATGGGTAACGAGCCGTACAACACCACGCGTGGAAGACTTGAACATGCATCCTTTTTAATTTCGTTGCCAAATGGCTTTCAAATAAATGGGTACAAATGGCTTTAATTATATTCAAAACACGCTCTTCCAAGGATAAGGTGCTTTTAAATGCTCCGAGAATATATATGAATGAGCAGCTATTACTTAAAAAATTGTTTTTTTACACTCATATGATCTGAAAATTTATTTTTATAGTAAAAATACTAAACTTGACTGATAAATTATTGTTTAACCGATGTTTTTAACTGTTAAACTTAACAATAAAGAACAGTTCATGACATAAATTTTACGAAATAAAACTTATATATCATATAAGAGCCACAAAAACCTTTTAAGTATTGGATACTCCTTCATAAATACTTTTGATGTATTTAAGCATATTGTCCCAATATTAAACGTAGACATTTCTTTTAATAGGAATTAAAACACTAATTCATCACGTTTCAAGCAAATAATCATTTTATTAAATCTAATCCGGATTGGTAAGGGTCATAGATCTTCAATTGTAGTGGCATAGTACGTTTAATTTTGCAATTCCACTCTCGCCAATGACCAAGCACTCAAATCAGATTCTCAATTGTCTTGGGAATAAAAGTTCTGAATAGTTAGCATATTACACACACAGACTTAAATCTTTTCTTCTTCTTCTTTATTTTTTTCGTCTTATTAAAATTAACTTCAAGTCACAATTAGGTACTACTCCTCTGGTTCTATTCATATGACTCCTGTTTATAGGACACTGAGAGAAATTTTTATATAAATGTACGATTTTATCCCTTATTTATTATTGTATTGACTTTGTTTATATGAAATATAATATACATTAAATAGAGATTAAGTTAGAAAGTCATTAAATTTTAAATGAGAGTTAATGAAATTTAAGATTTTCCCTGGTCTATGTAAAACATGTTGGAAGTGCCTTATAAATAGGACCAGAGGAGTACTTCCGGTCCTTAATATAAAACCTTATTTGCCTTTTATTTTGATATTAAATATAAGACCCTATCCACTTTATCTCTCATATTTATATTTTTTTTTCCAAGTAGTCATTCTAAAAATAGTAGTTCTAGTCAATACATTTGATTAGCAAGAATATTTTAGAAAAGACAATACCTATTTAGGACAAATAACTAATTTAACTTACTTTATTAATATCTTCAAATTAATCAACTAGCTCTTATAATTAGGATCAGAGGTAGTACCAAATATGACATCTTATATATCTAATAAAAATTCAAATATTAATCTATCACGTTGTAACTTTCCCTTAAACTCAACTCCTGTTAATTTAATATTCATGTATTATACTCTTTGCATGCAATGTTGGAGTAATTTTCAAATAAAGAAATTAGCTAGTGAATTTTGCACGCCATAGTAATCTCTCTCGTATTTGTATAATATGTATGCTCATCTGATTCTAAATATAAGACTCTTATAATAAAATTGTATAAAGATCTTATATTTAAGATCGGAAGAATATATATATATAAAATTATACAAGATGTTGAATTTGTGTTGAGTTAAAAAAAAATTCTGAACCATTTAAGTAATGTGAATTTAAATCTTATAAATGGCTTCAAATAGTTGAAAATTTATTTGCACCTTTAATCAACGTCTACCTTGCCGCAGGGGAGAGATTATAAAAGATGAAGACACATGGAAGGGTAACTGTTTTATACGGTATTGAACCTTTTTTTTTTTTTGGGTTCTTTTGCGTTTTGGGAATTACGATGGCAAGCTTGAAATAGAGGAAATTAAAAGAAAAGTCAGCCACGCGCTTATTGAATTATATTGCACCTTCAAATATTTTCTTGCATTTTGTTGTTTAGAGGAGCTCTCAGATCCAACGAACTGCATCTGCACTTGCATGTGAGTGTTTTCATAACATGTCCTATACCAAAGCCGTGTTGGGGTGGATCAAACTTGGAAAAGTTAAATTGTAAAAAGTCTTATAAGTAGAGGCTAGTCCTGATTATTAGTCCTTTAAATACAGAGTCTTAAGTTTCAGTATGTCCAGATGTATTTAGAAAAAAGTTGATAAATACTATCTCTAATTCTTAATATAAGAACTAATTAACTAGTTTGAGTAAATTAAAAAAATTTGTTAAATTAGTTATTTATAATAAATAGGTGTTGTCTTTCCTTGCTAATTATTTGTATTAGCTAGAACTACCATTTTATGAAACAATTAACGTATGTAATTACGATAAAGACTGTTTTTGAGAAAAAAAATAGATAAATATAAGAGACAAAGTGAATTTAAGTTTTATATTTAAGACCAAATTGAATGTTAAACCAGCCTTTAGAGTAAAGATTGAAGATAGTACTACTTTAAGTCTTTAATATAAGATTTAGTTAACTAATTTGAAAAGATTAAGAAAGTTAGATGAGTTAATTGTTTATAACAAACAGATGTCGTGTTTCCAAAAATATCTTTATTAATCACGTGTGTTTGAATTACTCATTGACAGTAACTCCTTAACATATGCAATCACTATAAGAATTATTTGAAGGCAAAATAAAGTTTTATATTTAAAATCAAATTAAATATCATACTAATTTTTATATTAAGACCAGACGTACTTCTTGTTCCAATAGGAGTTAACCCCCGGCGAATGCCCAAACAATTCAGCTACACTGACGGGTTGAAATCCAAGGAACTTGTTGAACCTCTTCATCTATCTTCCATTTGGGTCTCAAATAAAGCCATAATATTACCTATAGTTCTTAATATAAGACAGAATTAATTAATACGAAAAGATTAAAAAAATTATTATATTATTTAATTATAATATATGTTATATAATGTCTCTAAAATATTTATATCTAATATTATTAGATTATAAATTAATTTATAAATATATCTATGGTTAAACAACTTGCTGCGCGAGATGAATGATGACGAAGAAAGCTCGTGCAATAATGACAAGTTGAAGGAAGGCACTACATCATGATGGAGCTAGCAAGATGTCACTGATTGGCCATATTCCTCCATGCTATTACACTGCACATTCATAAATCATGGCATCATGCCATGGCAGGCTCATTGGCCGACCTGTGCCAGCTCCAGCTCACGTTGCCTTTGTTTTCACGAATCTTTTAATTTTAATTGTTTACAAGACAGTTTCACAACTTATATTTTATTAGCTTTATCTTTTAAAATTTGATACTGTTTTTAATTACAAATAAATACAGGAGGTATATAAAGGATTTGCTTTGATCACAATTACAAGACCATAATTCATTTCGTTTTTCAAATTTTGTAATGATTTTCTTAATATATTTTTATTGATTGAAGGTGATAATTTTCTAACTTTATCATTAATTAATGTATATATTTCAAGACAATAAAAATTTATAAAATAATAAGTCCAGAATAAAATTAACCAATACTCCTCCATCTATTTTTTTTTTTTTATAAAAAACAATCTCTTCTATAGTGATGTCCTTAAATATAAGAAACAAACTCTTTTTGCTTAAATTTTAAACTAATCTTTTGACTTTTACCCCTATTAAATGCTCCTTTGGTTTTATTTATAGCGCAGAAAGAGAAAATATTTTTTAGTCCTATTTATAGGGCACTGAGAGAAATTTTTATATGAATATACAATTTTACCCCTTATTTATTATTGTATTGACTTTGTTTATATAAGGTATAATGTATATTAAATAAGAATAAAATTGAAAAGTCATTAAATTTTAAATGAGAGTTAATGAAGTTTAAGGTTTTTCTCGATCTGTGTAAAATATGCTGGAAGTGCCTTATAAATAGGACCAGAGGAGTATATGTTACTTATTGTCTCTCTACAATAAATTTTAATTCATTATCTCTCATAAACTCTCTTTACAAACAAGTATATAATTAAAAAATATGTATATATTTCACATATTTGTCACTTTAATTAAATTTAACTAATATTTTAAACTGCATAATTTTAGCAATTATTTCTTATGAAAAAATAAGGGTTAATATAATCTTTTGTCTTTGAAATTTAAGTTCATTTTAGTTTTAGTTTCCCAAATTTTAAATTTATGATTTTAGTCCCTGGAATTTATCCCATATCAAAACATTAATCTCTGAAGGTGCAATGGTATTAAAATCTGCTAAACTGTCATTAATGGCATCAATAGTAATGATTTGGACTCATTAAATGACACCTAATTGGATTTTTTGTGAATCATAGAACGTAACGCAATGAACAGCTTCTAAAAGGAACAACGATTAAAAAAAGAGAGGCTAAATTGCTGTGTTTTAAGGGCCTATTTTTTCTTTTCCTTTCTTTTATATAGGTAAGATCCAGTTAGGTGCAATTTAATCAGTACACATAACTATTTTAATGCTGCTTATGACATTTTAATAGATTTTAACATTTTTAATACCTCTAGATATTAATGTTTTTAAATGAATTAAATTTTAGGTACTAAAATTATCGGTTTAAAATTTGAGAGATTAAAATCAAAATAAATCCAAATTTTAGGAATCAAAAATTACATTGACTTATAAAATAATAATAATATCTCTTTATTATGTAAATAAATAAGGCGCTGAAGAGTATTTATTTATGAAAAAATTACACTCAGGTCTCACAGAAGACAATTAATTTTAAAAAAGTCCCTGAAAATCCCGAAATGATTCTGAAGTCCTCAGGGACCTGTATGTAATAAACTGTAATTGTGAAATTACTTATTTACCCCCATTAATTTTATTGCAGTAATTCATTTACAATCTCAACAGTAACTGTTGACAATCCAAAAAGAGGTGGTTGACAACCTCGGCAGTACTCCTGACAACTCACTCTATGGGATGTCAGGGGTATTGTCGAGGTTGTTAACCACCTCTCCTTGGGTTGTCAACAGCCACTGTTGAGGTTTTAAATGAATTACATTGAGTTTAAATTAATGGGAGTAAATAGGTAATTTCACAATTACAATTAATTACACACAAATCACTGAGGACTTATGAATTACTCCTCCGGTCCTTATTATAAGACCCAATTTGACTTTTTATTTGGTCCTAATTATAAGACCCAATCCATTTTGTTTCTTATATTTATGCATTTTTTTCCAAGATAATCCTTCTAATAATGATAGTTTTAGCCAATATACTTAATTAGTAAGGATATTTTAAGAATGACAACACTTATTTATTATAAATAACCAACTTAACTTACTTCCTTAATCTCCTCAAATAAGTCAATTGGGTCTTATAATTAGGACCGGAGGAGTATTTCGAGATTTCTAGGATCTTTTTTTAAATTAATTGCTTTTTATAGGACCTGAATCTAATTTTCCCTTTATTTATCTTTGTGGGCTTGGAGCACGTGAACAAGGAACTGATCCCAATCTTGTGGCTACTGGTACTTCATTTTCTGCCAATTAAAATTGTTCACGGTATTCCATGCATTTTGGATTAACTAAAATTTTAATGAATATACGGTATACCCATGTGACCTGGCCACATTCCATTAACAAAGAAGCAGAGACGGGTAGAAAACAAACAAGTGAGTCAGTTAAAAACAGGACTGGCAGCTGGCGGGGAAGGAACCAGACGAGACGACGTGGCTTTGCCAACCAAACCAATCTCATAACGACCTTGTGTCTTCTCTTTTCACTGTTCACGCTTCACTGTTCCTTAACTTCCTCTCCATTTGCCTGTCGCTCCATTCCCAATCTTTGACCCGACTGAAGATAAGACGACCACCCGCCAGAATTCAATTTCACCAAAAATTCATCCAATTTTCCCAGGAAAAAAAAAAAATCAGCGAACCGTGTAAGAGGGTGACCGTGTGTCGCGCTGCGTGCGTTGCGAGCCAGCGATAAGGAATCTACACGGAGTTTATGCGGTTCTACTTGTTTTCTAGGGTTACGAATGGTATGAATTTGATGCGAGTTTTAGCCTATCAAGGAAGAGGAGCTTCTTTTATCTGTGCCGTCCTTGGTTTTATCGCCGAATGTGACTTTATTCGTAGATAGATTGCATAGATGTTCTCCAGCAATTTGAAGGGGTTTGTATTGGCCGTCGTTTCCAGCGCTTTCATTGGCTCCAGCTTCATTATTAAGAAAAAGGGCCTCCGGCGGGCCGCGGCCAACGGCCGTCGTGCCGGTCAGTCCTCTTGAAAACTTCTAAATTGCATTTTTGTGCATGGTGCTGATCTTCATGTTCTGGGCATGACTGGTTCTCGTTCTCCATTTATCTCAGGTGTTGGAGGATATGGTTATCTGCTCGAGCCTCTCTGGTGGATCGGAATGATTACGAGTAAGTTGTTGTTCGTATTTGATTTGATTTTGTTACGGATTACAAGTCAATAACCCTAATTAATGTCTTAGTAGTTAGTAATTTCGAGTCTCCTTCTTTTCTTTTTTTGTAATCACCTAAAGTGATTGTCGGAGAGGTCGCCAATTTTGTGGCTTATATTTACGCCCCTGCGGTGCTTGTGACACCACTTGGTGCTTTGAGTATTATTGTAAGGTAATATTTATTTTCGATTTTCTTGTTTGCTTTTGACTTTACTATAGCCTATTGGATTTACTTACCGGCTAAATCTTTTTGGTAAACACTATCATGGCTATGGATAGTGCTGTCTTAGCACATTTCTTGTTGAATGAGAAGCTTCAAAAAATGGGCATGTTGGGGTGTCTTCTATGCATCGTTGGATCCACTATTATTGTACTCCATGCTCCTCAAGAGCAGTCCATTAGTTCGGTACTAGAAATATGGGAATTGGCCACTCAACCAGGTATCCTTCTGAGTTTTGATTCTTTTATCCAGTATAGTGTCTCTAGGCTGCATGACTCATACTGGAATTTTTTTTTTCCTGATCAATATTTTCTGTCTGGCGTACAGCTTTCCTCTTGTATACTGCCGCAGCTGTAGCTGTATCACTAGTATTGATCTTATATTGTGCCCCCCGATATGGCCAAACTAACGTTTTTGTTTATGTCGGGATATGCTCTGTAATCGGGTCTTTGACAGTAAGTGACTCTTCTAAGTATCTTGTGAGCATTAAAGATGTAATGGTTTTATTGTTTGAATTATTTCTGTAAATTCCGAAGGTGTCTTGCGTCTCAAACCAAGGGCCATTGTTTGATTTACATTGCTAATGACATATTTCACAGGTCATGAGCGTAAAAGCTATTGGCACTGCAATCAAACTTACATTAGAGGGCAGAAACCAGGCTGTATACTTCCAAACATGGATTTTTGCAATGGTTGCTGTTACCTGCATCATACTTCAATTAAATTATCTTAATATGGTCAGTTTCTTATAGTATGACGCATTTTTATATGAATATTGATTTTGCACATTTCATATGCTTTTTTTGGCACCCCGTTGCATCGTTCTGTATTGTAAATTAATATTTTATGCCAGTGATGTAGAAGATCTCTTAAGGCATGTTAGTTTGTTTGGGTCTTGGCCACGTGAAATGATACAGGCTAATGCTTTGCGCATTTAATTTAATGAAGAATATCATTTTGATTAATTCAAGAAAGAATGAGTATCACAACTCTACCGAAATTCAGTTCTAGTTATCAACTCTCCGGCTAATACATGCTCTCTTACCTTGTGCTGTTATATTTGTTTTTCTTTCAGAGTAACATTCAATTCATTCAAGGCGGCAGATGAACATTACCACAGATACATTTTCAAAAATATATCAAAACTTCCAAAACTCATTTGCCTATGCTGATTTAACTTTGAGACCCCTTGTTTCCACTGCTGTAAATGCATGTACTTTCTTCCTTCTTTTTCTTCTTCCATCTTGCCTCTCCTCCCTTTCCCCTGTTCAATTCTCCCTTCTACATCAAACCTAACTCAAATTATGATTTTCTTACATGTGTCATGAACAAATAGTTTAATTCGAAATAACTCATTGAAATTAAGGTCATTGTGGTTCAGATTATTTTCAATATTCATCAAAAAATTTTCGCTTAAATTTAACAGGTGAAGAGTGAACTAATACTGTACTCAACTTTTTTCTATAGCTTGAAAGAAGTATACAATTGACAAGGAAGCTGAAAAGGAGACTGTCAAATTGTAGTTTGTTATTATTTGTCAAGTGCTTGAGATAAAAGAAAAAAAGTTTGTAATAATCACCTTTGTAGAAAATTTCCAGCTTAATGTGTTGTTTTGCTGCTTTACTAATCATGTTTAGATATATTAAAGTGAGTAAGCAATCTAATTTGCTGGTTATAATTATACCCTTATAAGCTTATTATGCCACTTTTTGATACTTTAACCCTGCCTATGAACATATTTCCTTACATATTCCTGGGCATCTATTTTCACTCCTCGTTGTCGTTAAATTTAAGTCACCAATAGAAGGAAGGAACCTTTTCTGGTGGTTGTGATTTTACGTGTTCGACTTGTAAGCAATCCATGTTATATTTAATCTGATTACATGCAGGAACTTATGATTAGCAATTTGCATTCCTATGATTTAAATTACCAGTGCCAATGCCTGCCCTTCAATTGTCACCATTTGCTTGTATTTGAAGCGACCAACTCTTGCATGGTTGCAGGCGCTGGATACTTTTAACACAGCAGTTGTTTCTCCCATCTACTATGCCTTGTTCACATCTTTTACTATATTAGCCAGTGCGATCATGTTTAAGGTTGGTATTTTATCATAACATAGTGAGAAAAATATATAGCAAAGGAGAGATTTTATGATTCATCATCTAATTATAATCCTTCTAAATTTACTGCTTATTTAGGACTATAATGGTCAAAGTGCAAGCAGTATTGCATCAGAGCTTTGTGGTTTTATTACCGTTTTATCTGGAACAACTGTATTGCACAGTACAAGAGAGCCTGATTCTCCAGCCAATACAGGTAATGCCTCATACCTTTTACTTTAGTTTGGATGACTTGGAGAATGTAAATTTCTTATAGGCATATGTGTCATTAACACGAATTCAGCTGATATTATTTTGCTAACATCATTGTTTGGCTTGATTATGAAACGTTGTTGGTGCCTCTAAGGCTAAAACAACTTTTTTAATTATGTGAAATTTTGCTTTTTAAGTTCCTTGTTATAGACTACTTGCTTCATTCTGATATAAATGAGTAATCATATTACCACAAAATACTTGATAGTTTTTTATTAAAATATGTTAAGAGTGAAATCAGCAAATCCGTTAATTATGTCATGTAAATAAAAAAGTCATTGGACAGTCGTTTTGTTGGACACGGACATTGATATGGAATAACTAGATTTTAACAATAAGTCAGAATGTGTGCTTGTCCTGATCCAATCAAAAACAGTAACCATTATGTTTTGCTCTTTCATTGAAGCTCAGCCGTTGACAACAGAAGTCAAATGCCGTGAAGATGATTAGAGGCTTAGTAAAATTAAAAGGGAGTTGTGAATTCTCGGGTCTATTCATTCCTGAAGGGTTTGGAGATATGAGTCGGTGGTTTATCATACAACTTCTAATCGATTACTTGAAAGAAATTAACATTAATTGAAAGCACTCCTTGGTTCTTTAGTACCTGCACTATCCTAGTTTCAAGGATGGTTGCTAATTAATAAGCTTAGCAGAGTAATGTAATAGGGTAAGAAATTCCCCTATGAGTAGACTTACGCGGTCAACAGAAATGTGGCCACGCATACTGCCATTTGAGCTGCAACCAAGATGCAGAAAGAGGGGCCCTAGATGGTTCAAACACTGAGGAATTAATTGTCTGCTTGGTAACTTGTGAGGAGTGATAATAATTATACATTTATATGATTGATGATGATATTAACTGAGCTCAAACTGTGGTAATGTAACTAAAAATGGGCTTCTCATTTTTTTAACTCTAAGCATTTTGGTTGTGTCTAAATTTTTTGTATCAGAGGTAATTAATGCTCTTCCATATCTCTACTCAGCTCTTTTGCTCTGTAACGTTCATATAAGTTATAGTAAACTGTGGTTGGACCGGTACGGTTAACTGTTTTACTGATTTTTCTGTAAATCTATTTGATTACTGCTTTATTGGTACCCTTTATCCAATACTTAATATGTATCTGTATTAAATTCTGGGGAAATTGGGATAATAAAGTTGTATCTTTTCCTACATTCGGGAAGGATATCTTCTGATTATTCTCTTCATGCAGATTTGTATACACCACTGTCTCCAAAAGTGAAATGGTATGTCCAAGGCAATGGTGAACCTTGGAAACAAAAAGAGGAAGATGGAGCACCATTTAATTTAATCACAATAGTACGGCAAGACCATTTCAAGTGACAGTAAGGGATTAATTTGTAACTCCTCAAAGTCAGTTCCATCCTGTGATATCCTGCCAATGGGGTTCAAGCGTTTGAAAATGTTCCATCAATTTGGTTTAGCAAGAGACTTTACACTGTGCCGGCGTAGAGGAGAGGGTGGTGGCGCTTTCAGGGATGATTCAACATTGTTTGCGTTTTTTTGGTTTACCACTTCTGTTTCACTCTCCCCGATGCTTATACAGATGTGCATTGGAGAAAATTCCCTGCTTCTGGGGTTGGCCTTGGTCAGGTGGTGGGTGCTGATGTAATTTTGATAATACAGACTGGTTAGACGAGGAGGGGTGTGGTGGGCTTTCATACTTTTGTACAGTGAATCTATCAGTTCTGCAATTTTCTCGGGTTTGTGAGTCTTTGCTTCTGCATGGCCCGTAGCTTGAACAGATCTGGGCTCGCCAAATTGGGGTTGTGCCCTTTTTTTCAAGTCAAGTTCTACTGCGCGGAGCACGGTAGATCTATTTTCAATTTTGGTACTGTTAACTACAAGTGAAGAATTTATAGCTTCCGATCAAATGAGGATGTACATCTGAGGTCTGACGGTCACGCCGATTTTTGTTTGTACTTTATAAATTACTTAAGTAATTATGATTTTGTTATCCGGAGTGCTTTTTTCCTCGAAAATTATATGTAGCAGATTTTTGTGTGTACTCCCTTTGTATTAATTACTTGAGTGATTATATGTTTTGCTTGAGACTGGAAAACTAAATCAAGGAATTTTGGTTTTATAAAATAAAATTTTAATATGTGCGGGCGCGCGCGCTGTGATGAATGCAAAACAAAGTTAATTAGCGCAAAAAGTACGGTTCCTCTTACGTGAAGTGGTTTTTTTTTTTTTCTTGAATGATTTCTCTTTTAGTTCTTTTTGTTACCTTGTTAGGAGGTTTGTGCCTTTAAGATTTTTGCATTTACCATCTTCTAGGCTGTTACGGTTGTATTGGGGGGGGGGGGGAACGTTAGGTTGTTATGGCTCCTCTTTCTTCATGCAATTTATTAGATTCTGTGTAATTTATTTTTATTTCAATCTTTAATACGCATTTCAATAACATTCAAACGCCAACAAGATATAGAGTATTATCCTCTTTTTATATAGATATATATATATATTGCTATCTTTTGCAGTCATAATAATGGAATTATTGGTATACAGCTTGAAACTCGACGAATTGGTGTTTTTATTTTTTCCCAACGCGCCGTGTTGGTGATTATTCATACGCATCTTGGTAAAAGAAATAACAGTTAGTTAAAGCGAGGGAGGTAGAGAGGATGGGGTTCAAAACGGTTAAGGGAAGAATAATATGTAGTAGGATTTACTGTTTGACAAGGGGAGCAATAATGTGGCTGTAGTTTAGTGGTAAGAATTCCACGTTGTGGCCGTGGAGACCTGGGCTCGAATCCCAGCAGCCACAAAAGCTTTTGTTTTTTTGCGCCCCAGAAACACAAAGGTACTCTGCATCAGTATTCAGGACATCATCTTCAGGATTTCCCGTGGATCGTTGCACGAAGCAAAACTCTTCCTTGATGAAACATACATAGAGAGTCTTGTGTTGTTCTAAGAGGAGCTGTTCCTGCAATCCAATTAAGCCAAGCTTGAAAACCTTCCCACTAGATTATTTATCCACCTACAAATGAGATAAACTAGTCTAAAAAAGATACATAAAAAATAAAACTACAATTGGGATTTGGTGCTAATGATGTGGCCAAAAGTGGAGATTTGTTGCTTTCATGTGCTTCTTATAATGCCATAAAGAAGATTCTGCTTCAAGCTGCTTCTTGTGATGATGCAAAGCGGCCTCAGTTTCATGTGTTACTTCTCTTAAAATCTCAATCTCTTTCTTCTTTAGCTCTTCACTATTGTTACTGCATTCATCATGCCTTGCTTCCCATTGCTTTTCATAATCATATAAACTCGCCTCTGCTTCTCGTTGTTTCTGGTAATGATACAAAGCTGCTTCTGCTTCCTCTGAAGCTTTCTGCACTATCTCCATCTCTTTCTTCATCTGATCTTCAACAATAATTTGTTCTTGCTGCTCCGCCTTCATCTTCATTTGTTCAAGCTCTTTCTTTAATTCTTCATTCAACGCTTCCAACTTCATTAACATATACGAGTCACAATAATGGTCTCAGACAAAGAACCATATCTAAGAGAAACACATTAAGAGGGTGTTTGGCAACAACTTAAAGTCCTTGTAAAATAACATTTTTTCGCAAAACGAGAAAAACTCTTCAATATATTTATTTCGTATACTGTAAAAATACATTTAAAATGTTGAGGGCTAATGTTAGTCTTTAACATTTTCAAGGTGATACTGAGTAAAAAAAAAAAAAACTTTGAATAATCACAGCTCATTCATCAATACTTTCAGGAAGGAAAAAAAAACCCTTAATTTTCATTAGTGTAAAAATAATTAGATTAATTACTAATACGTACCTCTTGTTTATGTGTTTGGTGGTGCCCTTCAGATTTCTGCCTCGCTTCAAACATCTTCACCAAGTTGAGACAAAATTGTATCTCATCATCGACTTGCTTTGAGTCTGATGAGATCGAATAGTTATCCATCGATCGTTAACTTCCCATCAAGAGAATTGAATCACAGAGAACCACAATTTTTTTTCCACAAAAAGTCATAATTGTGTTTCATCATCCACTTTCTTTGAGTCTGATGAGATCAAATAGTTATCATCTTCCCATCATGAAAGTTGAATCACAGAGAGCCACTATTTTTTTCCACAACCAGTCATTCGGAGTACTCTTCAGCTATAAATCTTTTTGTACTTTTTAACCGGGATAATGTGATATCTTAATTAAAACAAATATAAGATTAGATAGGATTTTATCTTCTTTTTTAAAAATTGGAATCTCAATTAAATGTGATATAATATTATTATTAAAAAATAATTAATTACCCTCAGTTATCCAGGAAATCACGAATAGTGTTTATGGATAATATAAAAGATAAGATTATGTTATCGAAAATACAAATATAAAATTATAAAATTGAGCCATAAATATATTTTAAAAAAAATAAATCCATGATCTAGCGTGCTCTTATCCTTGATGTAACAAGGGAGAAATCGAAATCGATAAAAAAAAAAAATCTTCATACAATATAAATATCTGCAATTTCTTTTGCACAAAATTCCCTCCATAAAATCTCTAAATATTTTAAAAATTACTCATTTTTTTAGCTCATGGACCCAAAACTACTATAATAAAATATATCAATTTATAATACAAAAATCATTTAATGTAGGATAATATTCTGTATATATTCTATTGAATATTTTATGCTTAATTGATTAATTTTTATATGCAAGTAAGTAGGAATCAAAAATATTGGGAACAAAATAAATATTTTATCTTTTTCAATCGAATATACCATAATGATGAAGTCAAATTAAACCAACTAGGATAAACTTTGTGACATCTTTATTTTAAGGCCCGGGAGCCGTAATTTTGATCGCTCCTTATGGTTTGGGCCGTAAATTACAACTGTAGTATTAAAAAAATTTGCATTTTTTGATAAAAGTAGTTTTTTTTTTACCTGAATAAAAATAGTTAAAATAATAATGAAAGAGAGGACGTGAAGTCCCATTTATACATGTTTTCCAGTATCTTGATAACACACACACACACACGCACAGAGGAATATGATAATCACACGTCATTATAAAAGTGCTCTCCTCAATCCTTTTTTGTTTCAGTAAGAGATTATTAACAAATTTCACATAGATGAAGAAAACTAGTTAAAATTAATTATTCTCATTAAATATGCTCATATGTTCAATATTTTCCGAATTGAACCTTCCTCAATAAAATCTACGAAAATAGTTTAGTCTTTGTCTCTCTTTACGTAATCAAATGTACTTGAAAAAGTAATTGATGCTTTTAGAAATATTCAGAGTCTCTTATAAAAAGAGTTATGAAAAGTTTATAAGAAGTCTTTCGTGTGTGTAGATATATATATGGGATCGGAGAGAGCATTGTGGGTGTGTAATTTGCGCAAGGCACGCTCACATAGGTTCCATATTTTCTGGATATGAAATTAAATGTTCGTAATTTAAATTTGAGACTTAATTGCACTTTTGTCTAGAAATATTTTCAGAGAGCATTATTTCTTTCTCTTTTTTTTTTTTTGTATGCACCTGGTAGGCTTATATCCTAACCAAGCCTTTAAGGAATTATAATTACAAATTGCAAATTGGCCCATTTTGGATCTCGCGATGGTAGAACCCAAATGGACAGCGACCCTACCATCAGCGTTATTGCATTTCTAAAGAATTGAACCCGTGACTTTTGGTTAAGCTAAAATAATTCTTTCCAGTTGATTTAAGCCCTTGGTCATAGAGAGCAGTAATTTTTTTTTTTGGGGTTATATATATATATGGGGTGTTTGGCATCCTCAAAACCGTGGTTTCAGAAGCACTTTTCTACCAAACGAGGTAACCTCCTCCATATATTTACTTCGTAATCTATAAAAGCACTTTTAAAATCATGATTTGGTTTTTATCCAAACATTATTAAAACTGATGCATTATTGCCACCTTTTAAATGGGTCAACTCGAGATCAAAATTGAGTTGAGATAGGGGTTATTTGCTTGTAATATAAATATCTAAAGCCCCAGGGTCAGCTCCGATGAATTAGGTCATATTAATTTCATGTCCGTCACACACAGTCAGCTTCCATTTCGAAACCCAAAAACCAGAGATTTCTGGTTTTCTCAGTTCCCAGCCCTGCTATTGTAACATGATGTACCCCTGAGATCGGAATACAAAGATTCCTCAAAAAGACAGAAGATCCACAATTTTAAACGCAAAGCCCACAAATACCAGATTCTCTGCGCTCGTTCAGATTTCAGAATCTGGAATCTTCATCATTCATCTCATTCTCACTAAATCCAATCCCCACCGTTCATTCCTAATCCAACGGCCTCCATCGCACTTGTATCCTCCAGAGTTCCTGACCCAATAACCCCTTATATTTATACACGTAGACTGGTTCGTACACAGCGAGACAGAGACAGATAGAGCTATGGCTTCCCCTCCGGTGAATTCTTTACCCACAGCGTATCAGGCAGGGACGAGCCTCGCCGTACCGGACTGGCTGAACAAAGGGGACAACGCCTGGCAGATGATCTCGGCGACTCTGGTAGGGATTCAGAGTATGCCGGGGCTTGTCATTCTCTACGGTAGCATTGTGAAGAAGAAATGGGCCGTCAATTCTGCTTTCATGGCTCTCTATGCCTTCGCCGCCGTCAGCATCTGCTGGGTCACCTGGGCCTATAAGATGTCCTTCGGCGAGCAGCTTTTGCCCTTCTGGGGAAAGGCTGGACCGGCGCTTGGTCAGAAGTTTCTGGTCCGTCAGGCGGCGCTGCCGGCGACACCTCATTACCATAAGAACGGGGAGCTGGAGACGCCGGAGATAGAGCCCTTCTACCCGATGGCGACGATGGTGTGGTTTCAGTGCGTGTTCGCGGCCATCGCGGTGGTTATTCTGGCCGGATCGGTGCTGGCGAGGATGAATTTCAAAGCGTGGATGATGTTTGTGCCGTTGTGGCTGACGTTTTCGTACACCGTCGGCGCGTTCAGCTTGTGGGGTGGTGGTTTCTTGTTTCACTGGGGCGTCATGGATTACTCCGGCGGCTATGTCATCCATCTTTCTTCCGGGATTGCTGGTTTCACCGCCGCTTACTGGGTTAGTATACCATCACTATTATTTCATCAACTATATGGGGAAAAAAAAAAATACTAGCTTTATTCCTTTTTAAATTATAGATTTTGAAAATAACAGTTGAACCATGAATCTCGCTATAGTTACTTAGTACGTCAATAGATCTACATAGACTATTTGAGAGTGTATTCCTCGTGGATGCATGCGAGAGATTCCTTTGATGATAAGGTTCACATTAAGGAAACAAAAGAAAAGAAAGACCAAATGCATGAAGATGCTCGTGACAAAGGACTCAAACTTTTTCATTATATATGAATGAACACACAGACACACACACACGAGTTTCATATACAGTTTGACTGAGTCATGTAGAGATATTAATTGGTGGGTACGGACGTAGCTCGGAGAGAATAATAAAGGAGGGGCGAAGCAGGTAGGTATATGGAAGAGGGACGATGATGTTACGGGGGTTTGTTTACATTAATGTTGTTGCTGCTGCTGATAAGAGTACTGTGTGTAGGTGGGACCGAGGTCGAAGAAAGATAGAGAGAGGTTTCCGCCGAACAATGTGTTACTGACGCTGGCGGGGGCGGGACTGCTGTGGCTGGGATGGGCCGGCTTCAACGGCGGCGATCCCTACTCGGCTAACACCGACTCGTCCATGGCGGTTCTCAACACCAACGTATGCGCCGCCACCAGTTTGCTGGTGTGGACCTGGCTTGACGTCATCTTCTTCAAGAAGCCCTCCGTCATCGGAGCCGTCCAGGGCATGATCACCGGTCTCGTCTGCATCACTCCGGGTGCCGGTATAAAATTCTCCCTTCTATTCTATCGGCTATGGTACTTTCTATATATAAAAAAATACAGAAAAATATTAAAAATTACTTTTATTATTAAACACCCTTTTACAAGATTAATTAATAGAGATAGTTTACAAAAATTTAAAGAGACAAAATACTTTTTTTTTTGGTCAATAGAGACCAAATATATTGAGTTGTTACATTTAAAAAAAAAAAAAAAACCTCATTCTTATGTAGTGGTATAAATATTAAGTTGCGTGTGGTTATTGCTGTGCTGTTAAACTCTCCAATGCCCTGTTTTGGCGGCCGAGAACTTTGTCTTATTAATGTCAGGATTATATTCCAATTTTCTGGTATTACTTTTGACTTCTTTCTTCCACTTTGTTGGTTGGTTTTTCTATTAAGGGAAGGCTAATTCAATATCTATAATATATTTCCAATACATGAATCACGCCGTCTTTGAAAATATTAATTTGCATTATGTTTATTGACTACTTAATTAATTACTTAATTAATTAATGTCAATTTGAGGCTGCCCATGACTTATATACGAATTTCTAATTCTAACAATAATTACAGTTTTTTCAATATACAGATGTCTTCTTGGACGCGTATTTCCAGATATCACAAGTTTATTAACATCAACGCAATAAAAAAGTTATTGTTCAATTTATCATAAAAAATAAGAAATATTCTTAGCGTTCTTTGCTTAACTAGGCATCTCTCTTTGGCCTGAACCTGAATAAGATATTTCTATCAATAATGCAAACGAAAAATAAATGCTTAATCTTATTATTCACATTTAACTTAGTGGTGTGTAATTCAATTTTTGTTATACTTAATTTTAAATAGAGTAGTTAACCTATATCTTCCAGTTTATTAGGCGACAAAAATGTATTTTTCACAATTTATTGAGTCAGTATATTTATAATCTCAAAACCTTTTAAAACAATAATGATATCACAAATTTTAAAATTTAATTGCAGATGAAATATGATTTTTAATTGTATGTGAATTTGTTGATTGGAATGGATTATTAGGGCTGGTTCAAGGATGGGCAGCCGTGGTGATGGGAGCATTATCCGGCAGTGTGCCATGGTTCAGCATGATGATATTGGGCAAGAAACTCAAAATATTCCAAATGGTCGACGACACTCTCGCCGTCTTCCACACCCACGCCGTCGCCGGACTTCTCGGCGGTATCCTCACCGGCCTATTCGCGGAGCCTCGCCTGAGCGCTCTCTTCCTCCCCATCACCAACTCCAGAGGAGGCGTGTACGGCGGATCCGGCGGAGTCCAAATCCTCAAACAAATCGTGGGAGGGCTGTTCATCATAGGATGGAACCTGGTGGCGACATCCATCATCTGTGTGGCCATCAGTTATGTAATTCCTCTGAGGATGTCGGAGGAGGAATTGGTGATCGGAGACGACGCCGTCCACGGGGAAGAAGCTTATGCGTTGTGGGGCGACGGAGAGAAGTTGAGTTTATATTCTGACGATACTACTCACCACCAGGGAGTTTTAGCATCCTGTGGGGCCACTCAAGTCCTCTAAACGACCTGAACCTTAAAAACCAAACAAAACAAAAAAACGAAGAAGGAAAGAGAAATTAGGATTTAGGTGTTATCGTGTACATATGTCTGTGTGTGTGTTTTGAAATGGACAAATATTTCTTATGAGTTTATTTAATTTTATGTTGTTGTTTAGCAAGTGGTGCCATTCAGGTTGTCTGTATATTAATACGATGCAGCTTGATGCCACAATGGTGTCGGCTGAATGATAATGAAAAACTTTTGTTTTTTAAGGTGGCCAATGAGTTCCCTTTGAGTTTTTTTTTTTTTTTAAAAGAAAAGTTACTATAAGGACCAAAGAAAAGATATAGTCATCTAAAAGTTTCAGTAAAGCAACATAGACCTGTTTTTTTTTTCACTAGAATTTACTACCTCCTGTCCTAATTTATAAGACCCAGTTAACTAATTTGAAGAGATTAAAGAAAGAAGTTAAGTTAGTTATTTGTAATAAATAGGTATTGTTTTTCCTAAAATATATTTACTAATCAACTATATTGGCTAGAACTATAATTATTAAAAGGACTACCTTGAAAAAAATACATAAATATGAGAAACAAAATGGATTGGGGTCTTATATTTAGAACCAAAATAAAATTCAAACAGAATCTTATATTAAAGACTAGAGGTAGTATTATATATCACTCGCTTTTCAGTCGTTAACAAATTTTTTTATGATTAAATCTCTTTCTTAAGATATGGTAACAATTCCCCCTTCTTTTAATAAGTTTAAAATTACAGCCTATTATATTGGAGATAAAACTATAGAGATTAAATTGCAATGAATTAATTAAATTTTATAGATTGAATTATAAGTAAGTGAAAATCATAAAAATTAAGTAATAGCGAGTTAAAGTGTAAAAACTTATTTATAATCATATCGAAGTTATGGGAATTAAAACATTAATTTTTTATTTAAAAAAATGGCTAAAGGGCAAAAATAGCCCAGGTGCAGGAGGAGAGTATTGAAGAGGACCCTGCCATTTGCCATCCTGTTAATGCGGTGATCTCTTTATTCCGATTTCTTCGTACCCCACTTTAAGCGTGTATCGCCAACAGCTGGACGTACGACTGCATCTCATGCAGTTAGCTAATCGTGTCCCCCCATCTCACATTTTCCTGTCACGTGTCATTTTTCTCTTTTCTTCCTCCTAAAAGAGTTGAATGAATTGGATTCTAAGAATTTATTTGGGTTAGAGTACGTGTTCAAATTCAAAAAAATACTTATAAAAACACTCACAGACCACCCACAAATAAAATCTTTATATCGACAAAGTGATTTGAACTCAAGAATCATGTAAATTACAAGTCAACTTCTTACCTACTGAAGTTTTTTTTTTTTACTAAAGTGTAGATATCCTCTTGTTAGAACGGGAAAAATGGATTGAGCCTGTTTAAGTTCAAAAATTATGAGGGCTGAGTTTAAAATTTTTTTTCTCGAATGAAAAACAAGCCCTGCAAGGCTAGTTTGAAGGCCGAGAGTTTAAACAAGCCTGCCTTGCAGGGCTGAGGGTTGGCTCTTTTAGGCCCTTATTTTATTTTATTTTTTTAAAAGTTTTTGAATAATTCTAATATTATTAATTTTTTAATTGTTAATCATATTTTAAATATTTAGTTATTATTATTTTAAAATTAAATTTCACATAATGGTTTGATTTATTTAGTTTTAGACAATAATTTGTCTAATTAAATTTTTAAAAAATTAGTTAATTTGGACTTTAATAATGATTTGATTATATTACATATGTTGATATTTTTAAACTATATATATTTGATAAGAGAGTATGTTTATACTTATATAAGTTGTGATTCTATAATTTAAATTAGAAATTTATGAGTTTCAACAATAATGTTTCTCAGATTAAAGTAAAATAATAGCTAAACTTCAAAATTTAAAATGAAATTCCTATAAAGAAGAAAAAGTTGATATTTTTGTTACGAAAGAAAAGCATACTTATGAAGAAAAATAATTGATTATAACGATAATGAACTTTTAAAAGATTAATGAAAATGCTTATTTATTGCATATTTACACTATAGATGAAACTTTTGGATGTTGTTATCTTATTAATGAATGTTTTAGATGTTTATAGATATTTATATATGATGATATTTTGTATTTGTTACTTAATTTTATTCATATTTATGTCTTTTATTAATAATTTCATTGGTTTATTTTCATTTTTTAATAAAAAATATGAGAAATATAAAAAATAGTATTTTTTCTTAAACTGGCCGAAAGCCCAAGGGCCAGCCCTGAGCCAGTTAACCTAAAAGCCGGGCCTAGCAAATTGAGGTATTTTTGAAATTTCGGTCCTGAAAGGCTGGCCCTTTTAAGACTGTTAGTCTTGCAGGGCCTATCCTGATTCCTAGCTCTACCTCCTATTCGAGACATTATCGGATACTAAATGTAAGCACTTCTCTCAATAGAGATTCAAACTTTAGTTTATCATGTTATAAAAAATTAGTCCGTTTTGCTAAACCTAACTCCGGTATATTACTAAATCAATCTGCGTTGCATACGTATCTTTCCTTTAAATGCGTCGGACCTAGACCTTCGTACTTAAACAAACCAAACAAAGACCCACACATCTTATGTTGGACCATCATCAGCCCTAGGCCCATTGTTTTTCGAAGTCATATTTTATGACAAAATTAATCATTTTTTTAAAAAATCCCTCATGTCTTAAATATAAAACTCATTTTATATTTTATATTTAAGACAGGAGGAGTAACAATTTATTTAGCAAAGACAAATTAATCAATCAATCTTTAAAATTTGCATTCATTTTGATATATAAGTCTTTGCAGTTACAAAAAAAGAAGAAAATTATTCATCTAACAATTTTGTCTCATGCTCCACCTGCCTCGATTATGATATGTTGCCGGCGTCTTCAAGGCTAGAGCACAATTAAATTTTCTAATAATATGAAAATTTTCTCTCAAATTCTCCTTTTCTAATTCCATTAAGCTCTTTTCCAGATTTAGGTATCATTCCTTTATCCTTCCCAGTTCCGACTATTAGTCAGAACTCAGAAGCTTCCTATGATGGTCCTCAGCTAGAATTAATATTTATTCCCAACAATTTATTGTATTTTTTTTTTTAAAAATCCAGTCTATAATATTCGATGGATACAAAGTTCCTGTTTGGTATAAAGCATTAAAAATTAAGGTCTATGGTCCTGTTTGGTATGAAGTATTGAAAATAAAGAATAAGGACTGAGATTATGATTAAAAAAATCATTAAAAAACTCTTTAATATAAATAATTATTTATTACATGGGATTAGACAAACCTATGAAGATATAATTGAGAAAAACTACTTTTCCTCATGATATTTTTCAATCTTACATATATGGATTTGTGCAATCCTATGTAACAAGAAATTTCTCATACTAACTATTTTTTTAATAAATTTTTAATACCAATCTTCATTTTTATTTCTTATTTTTAACACCAAATTCATCTCTGCACACTGTAAAGGCGGTATTATTATTATTTTATCATTTTCCTGATGACTAAGCTTGACCGTGCTGAAGAAAAAGTGACCAAAGTCCAAAAGAAGGGTAACCTACTGTCAACGGCCTCCTTCTCTTCGTCAGACACGTGGCATCCACGTGTCACCCTTCACCTGACGTGCACGTGTCAGTTATTTACTCATCTCATTGGCTCACGTGTGCCGCCATCATTGAAAATGTTTGCCCCCGTGTCATCTCTTTCAACATCTTCTAGAGGGGCTGAAGGGGAAATTTCTTATTTTCCAGGGACTAACTTCATAAACATATTGTAACTAATAGAGATGTTTTGAAAGTTTCTTAAGTTATGACCACCTATTTAAAAATTGATATAAACCGTAAGGATCAATGAATTAATCTTCTTATAATTCTTGTACTGATATATTTACTCATTTTTATTAACTTTTGATCATATTATAAAATGGGAAATTTAGATCCTAACTCCTCATATTTTAAAGTTATTCAATAATTTTTATTAAATCTTCTCAGTACATTTTACATTATAAGTAAAGTTCTTATTTTTCCTTTACCAAAAAAAAAAAATATTTTTCACTTCTCTTGATTAAGAAGTTGTATGTATCTGGTTGCACTTTTTCCCCCGTCAAAATAAGAGGAGTCAATTTTTGTAATGGGTCAATACAAAAAAATGCGTTCTTATTTACCGACATTAAATATATTAATTCACCTAAGAAAATGGAGTTCAAATTGTTCAACCACTTCTAATACTTTTTCCAGGGTCGTAAATTTAAAGTTGAAATGACTTTTGCACGGTCGTAAAAGAAGCTAAAGATTGGATTGGATTTGCTTTAATTTGTCTGTACTGGGCTGAATAACTTCTATTTTAAACCTTTATTAGTCAGAAAGACATGAATTTATTTTCGTGCCCAGAAAATATTGGTGTTCTAAAAACTTTTATACCTTTTTTGCTTTTTTTTTTTATAGATTTAAGGTCTTTTTACCTAATAAAGAATTTCAAACATGGGCTTTTCCACTAATTTTTCCTAACAAATTAGATTAGTGGACGCGCATAATCCATGAATAGAAATGGAACTATATGAAAGGGCGTTTGTGTTGTGTTGTGTCCCATCAGCATTTTGAATAATACAGTGATTCCAAAATGCTCCAATTTCAAACATGATGTGCTCTTTGATTCTTTACACTGTATGCTTGCTCACCTCATTCCTTCCCTTATCAAATCACATCTCCATTTAGAATCTTTTTATTATTCATATATAACTCATATATATATACACACACATCAACAAATTATTTTAGGGACTATTGTTTTTTCCTTTTTATCATTAATGTAAAAAAATAAATTCCAAGCGCAGAAAGCATCTTTTCTTCTAAAGTCATGGCAGCCATACCTTTTAACAAGTGTGCCAAAAAATAAGGCAAATTGATATGTTCAGAACGAGTAGATAGGTTGGGTCAGTAAAATTTTGCGTATTATCTCCAATCCTAATTATAAGACCTCATTTATAATCTATAAACGATGTTTTATAATTAAGATCAAAGATAATACTAATTTATTGATATGAAAATTCTTTTATTAGTAAGACGTCATGGTTTGGTTGTAACATCAAACCATTAATGTTCATAACTCTCTCTTTAATTTTTTCCTTTTAACCCGCCCAATAATGAATTGAGATTGTGGCAACCTAACCCGTCATTTTTCTTGAAGTATCAGATTTACAGGTCAAACTATATTGCTGACTCCTGTTTCAGGGCAGGCGGTGTGGGATTAGATGGCCTTCATGGATGCTAATCTCCTTTTGGGGGGTTGATGTCGTTTGGGGTTACTTTAGATTTGGAAATATTGAAAAATCCAAAAAACGACATGCGCTTCAACTTTCACGGTCGCCTAATTGTCCGGCACCACGTGCTTCACCTCCACCAACATTAAGGTACTGTGACTGTCAACTTTGAAAATATATTTGAATTTTTTTTTTTTGGCCAAAATATATTTGAATTCAATATTATTATTCATTTGCGCATTTGGTTAATTGCTCTATTATTATATTTGACTTCATTTGTACTTCCGTCTACCTATTACAGCTTTCCACGTGTATAACCCATTGTTTTACATCTCTCTTGTTAAAAAAAGTTTAATCCCAATTACTTATAACTTGTTTTTAAATAAAATTCTTATAGTAGTAACTAAATTTGAATTAATGAACTTGTGCTTGTTAATTGAACAATTTTCATTCGCGTTTTATGGATTTAAAAAAAAAAATTTCAAAAGAAGGATGTGCACTCTTATTTACCTACCCGCCTAATTTACGTACGTTTTTAAGGTTTACCCTAGACGTATTAATTAATTTTCTTTCAAAATTAAAATTCTTGAAAAATTGTAATTTTTTTTAGAAAAAATTCTGCCAACAAGTTTTTTAGAAAAATTAAATTCATTGCAAGAATTTTTTTGCTTAATTATTCACCAACGGTAAACTTAATTTTTCTAATTTCATATGATATATAGAATTATATTATAATCTGTTCATAAGTTTAACAGTAACTTTTTTAAAATAGAATAAGTTTAACAGTAACTTTTTTAAAATAGAAAAATTAATGTGCCATAATAGTTCTGGGACAGACCTAATTAGGCCTAGTTTATTTTTCCCTCAAGTAAGCTTCATTATTGGGTGATAAGGATTAAACATTTTTTTAATGACACGCAGAATAAAATAAAAAATACACTAAATGAAAAAAATAAAACATTGAATTAAATTATAGTATAATCTTGTTATCTTTTTTATTGTGTGCTTTTTGAGGGTCAACTTTATCCTCATCATTGCACGTTGTGATATGATTATAATAATAGGGGTATTCTTGTGAGGTTGGTTCACTAGTTCAATGGTTTTTCTCTCAGCTTACTATTGTTAGAAAAAATTAATCATAGTTCCTAAATAAAAAAAGTTAAATATAAATAGGTCTTTTGAATTTAGTTTAATATTAATAGATTTTTTAAAAAATTAATATTCACAAATCAAATTTTTTTACAAGCTAAATTGTGTCGTTTATAACTTAAATTTATAAATATTAAAATTCCTTAGAATCTACTGATATTAAATGAAACTCAGAGAATCTATCTATATTTAATTTTTATTTGAAATTTATAAATAACTTTTCATTCTTTAAAAGGTAAATATTTATTGGCCCAGAAAAAAGAGTTTTTGTGTTTGCCTCTGCCAAGAATGGAATTGGCATTGTCATAAAGAGGGGAATATAATCCAAAGTCATTTTAGTGGAGCCTCCGTTTCACAACGGGGCACATCTCCATATATCTCCGTATCATATATGCCAATTCGCTTTGAGCATTTAAAAGAGAGGAGGGACAATTATCAAAACCCAAATCACAATTTAGTGGGATTCTCATTCTCATTCCACCACTTCCACCATCAACTGGCCCTCTTATTCTTACCCAAGCTAGCCACGCCTGGCCATAGGGCTCCTCAAAAATTCTCCTTTTTCCCTCCTTTATTTTGCTCCTTCTTTCCCTTTTCAATCGTGTTCCTCATTGCTTTGTGGGTCCCTTGCACTTACTCTATCGCTCAGTTCATTTTAATCTCGATACTCATCATCATGACAGCAATGAAGTTCTTCATTTGCTTCTCTCCATGGGGGACTCAGGCGCCCAGGCCTTAAGCTAGCAAGTATCTCACCGTTTCCTTGCCCCCTCTGCTTTCCCAGAAGTTATAAGTTTTGCTCTTTATGCTAATACTTGAACGAGTACACATATTGATGTGTGTTTCTTTGATTGGGAGCTTTCTTGAAGCTTTTGTGTATGCTTTGTGTTTATCATAATGTTTGCAAGATATTAGAAGGTTGCGTTGTAATGGTTTTTGGATTACATGGAGTTTAAACTTTAAAGCCTCTAAACTATAGTTATACATGTTTCTCTGTTTTTCCCTTTCTCCAAGGTAGCCGGAAGTCTCTGGCTGAAATTTTCTTGGGCATTAAAGAGCCTAACAACATGCTTCGCCCAAACTTTCTGGGGGATACTCTCAAATTAATGACAAGGTTACTGCTATTCCTCAGTGTCTTGAGACTCGGTTATGCAATCACAGATCCTGATGTGGAAGGTGCGCCAAACTTTACCTTTTTATTTGTTTGTGGCTTGAGAAGCATATGTTATTTGAAGACTATGCACGAAAGTTAATGCTGCTTCTCTGAACAATCTTCTATTGTTCCTTATCAGTACTGAATCTTTGCTTCTTTTGTGTTTTTCCACTTGTTTCTTAGACCTTTCTTGTCTGATATTTAGGTGAAGCTTTGTCTGAAGTTAGGAAGGCTCTCCATGATCCCAACCATCAATTAGCTGATTGGAATTATTTTTTTGTGTCTGCATGCGTTAGTTGGTCCCATGTCACTTGTAGAAACGGACACGTTATAGCCCTGTAAGTTCATTCACACGGATGGTAAAAAAATGCTTATGACCAGCATCTTTCTTTTCGTTATCAAGATGTTTGCTGTAATTTATCCTATTAATGTACCAATCTGCAGGAGCCTTGCTTCATATGGACTTTCTGGAACAATAGCTCCTTCAATAACCAGATTGAAATATTTGGCTAGCTTGTAAGTTGTCATATTGATGAAATTGCATTCGGAAAGATTGACAATGCTGCTTGTGTCTTTGTGCATATTATCAGAAGTATTGTGTTAAACATGTTGAATATTTTTCCTTAAGAAAAAAGAGAAAAAGTTGCTATTAAAGTTCGGGCTGCGTGTGGATTTGCTTTTTTGAGATTCTGCGTGTGAAGCCCTTCTTTTTTCCCTCCCCCAATTTCTAGTACATGGAATGAAATATTAGAAATTTGGTAGAACAATTCTAAAAGTGCATTATTTCTGTGAATTTTAAGAACCAATAAGTGACAGCTTTTCTTTTAGATTCTCATTCCCTTTTATAACCTTGAATTGTCGTTTTTTGAAGTTGTTCATTCTCTAAAGACATGCCTAGCATATGACAGAAAATAAATGCTTAGAGAAATGCTTCTTAAACTGGAAGATTGTATGAAATTTATATGGATATCCTATTACTGCCCTTGCACAGGGAGTTGCAGAACAATAAATTCTCGGGCCCGTTACCTGATTATATTGCCAATCTGACACAACTTCAATATCTCAATCTTGGAGACAATCATTTTAGTGGTTCTATTCCAGCTAGCTGGGGCAAACTTCGAAGTCTAAAGAATCTGTAAGACTGCACCTTCCGTTTTTAAGTTCCTTTCCTTCATTATATGCATGAAAAATGATGTTTGATTGAAAGAGATGATATCATGTATGATTCAGGATCTTGACAGGGAACGATTTATCCGGACCCGTACCAGACACTCTTGCTAATATCAGTGGGTTGGCAGAATTGTATGAATTTCATTTCTTAATGGAATTTTTGTTTTCATGATTTTGGCTATAAAGCATTCTTCTCCAGCTTGAAATATTCTAAGCATGGTTCTTCGTTGCTCTGATTAGTTTTTCCATTTGACAGGGATCTTTCAGCTAATGGCCTGACGGGAGACATCCCAATGCAACTCTTTTCAGTTCCAAGCTTCAAGTAAACTCCAGCACAAAAGTTTGAGTTCTGTTTAACCATGCGCATCTCATTAAGTTACAAATACTATCGAGTTTTATTTATTATTTTTTGTTTTTACTGCAATCATCAATTTCAGCTTTTCAAACACACACCTTCGTTGTGGATCTCACTTGGAGCGACCTTGCGTTTCTAATTCTGCTATGCCAGGTTTTCTTTTATATCATCACGCTATTTCACCATATAACTTTACTATCCAAGTCAGAAAGAAGAAATATGACCTGACCTTTTCCTGCAGCTTCCACCAACAAATCAAAAGTCGCAGTGGTTGTGAGTTTTGCTAGTTGTGGTGCATTAGCACTTCTTTGTCTCGGGGCTATCTTTGCATATAGATACCGTTTCATACAAAGACACAAAAATGAAGTCTTCTTTGATGTTTCAGGTAATTTTTGCAGCATATTCTTAGGCTTCTAAAATTTTAGAAGTAATACATGCTTAAGGACAAAATTTTACAGGTGAAGATGAGAGCAAAATTTCTTTGGGACAACTGAGAAGATTTTCCTTGCGAGAGTTACAACTTGCCACTAAAAATTTCAGCGAAAGTAATGTGATAGGCCAGGGAGGCTTTGGAAAAGTTTACAAAGGAGTACTTTCAGATAACACTAAAGTTGCTATCAAACGTCTAGCTGACTGCAATAATCCTGGAGGAGAGGCTGCATTCCAAAGAGAAGTTCAACTAATAAGTGTTGCAGTTCACAGGAATCTCCTTCGCTTAATTGGATTCTGCACAACCTCTACTGAGAGAATCCTTGTATACCCTTTCATGGAAAATCTAAGTGTAGCATATCGCTTGAGAGGTACACAATAGGCCTATCTTCTTTCATCCATTGTTCACAATCACATTAATTAACAATGCTGCTTCAGATTTAAAACCTGGTGAGAAAAGCTTGGACTGGCCAACAAGAAAGCGCGTGGCTTTTGGTACAGCACATGGCTTGGAGTACCTGCATGAGCAATGTATTCCCAAGATTATTCACCGGGATCTAAAAGCTGCAAACATCTTATTAGACGACGACTTTGAAGCTGTACTTGGAGATTTCGGGTTGGCTAAGCTTGTTGATCCAAGACTGACCCATGTCACCACTCAGGTGAGAGGCACAATGGGACATATCGCCCCAGAATATCTGTCCACAGGAAAATCTTCAGAGAAAACCGATGTCTTTGGATATGGCATAACGCTTCTTGAACTTGTCACTGGTCAGCGCGCCATAGACTTGTCTCGCCTTGAAGAGGAGGAGGATGTTCTTTTGCTTGATCATGTATGCTTTTCTATCAAACCACACTTGCATGTCTATTTATGATTGGTTCGGTGTTCCTTCTCTGAATTTCTCTTGTCAATTACCAAATATGTTACCCTTTTAGGACATAATATTTATATTGATGAGGGTTGAATAATGAACAGATAAAGAAGGTACTGAGAGAGAACAGGCTAGAGGACATAGTGGATAGGAATTTGGAGAGTTATGACCCAAAAGAAGTAGAAACAATAGTTCAAGTAGCACTGCTTTGTACACAAGGGATGCCAGAGGACAGGCCAAGCATGTCAGAGGTGGTGAATATGCTTCAGGGTGTGGGTTTGGCACAGAGATGGGCTGAGTGGGAGCAATTGGAAGAGATCAGTAATCAGGAATCCTCATCACTTTCTCGTCACTTTGCTTGGGTTGATGAATCCACTCATCAAGAGGCTATACAACTTTCCACTGCAAGATAAAGCCTTCTTTTTGCAGTCCTCAAATTTTGAGCTTGCAATTTGTAATTTGATTGAAACTAAAGCTTATACACCTCACAAACTGTTATAGGCCTTATAGCAAGTCTTCATATAGCCAATACAAGTAAGAAGAAAAGGATTAGGGATTACAGAGATCACCTGTTATACTAAAGGATGAGTCCAGGCTATCAATGATGTACATATTGTTTACCACAATACAATTACTTTCTCCACAGATTATATCTGTCTTTCATAACTTCAAAAATGTTGCTATAATATTTTCGCATGGGCATGAATGATGGATTAAAAGAGTATTTTACGTATTCCCTTTTTTTTTAATAAAACTGAAATTCCATTAATGATTCAGAAAAAAAAGAAGATCAAATCTAGGATAGACTAGCTTCTGTTATCACCTTCCACCTTATAACAAAATGATGGAACCAGATTTAAAAAAAAAAAAAAAAAGCAATTATTTCCTTCAATCCTATGCAAGTATTTGGCAAGCTGATTGGCTAGGGAATTTACTTCTCTGGGAACAAGGCTAATCACAACTTGTCATTCCATGCAAATAAATAATCTAGGGTCATCTACATTATCTCTAAAATGATAACCTCACACAATGGGAAAAGAGATAAATACGTCTAAATTATAAATTTATAATTCAAAATTACTTAATATAGGAAAAAAAATTTCAATTTTTTGGCCCATTTGGCATCTTTAATTACTCATCAAAATTGATTTGAATTTTTACATTAATATGTCTAATTGTTCTTAAAAACCTAAACTTGAATAAATTATTGTTGCAGTTAAATCAAACTTGGACAAACTGACATTTTGATTTCGGAGCCGGTTCATTTAGTTCATAAAGGTTTGGGTAGCATGGACTTAAAAAGTCCATTTAGCCCAATAATGAAGTTTTCATGAAAATGTAGGCCATTAGGCCCAATTTAATTAGCACACTGTGGTTCGGCCATTTTGACGCAAAGCAAATTGTGGTTCAGCTTAATAAATGTTCTTTTTTGTATCAAAAAATAAATTTTCTTTTTTCATAAAAAATAAATTTTATTTTGAAAATAGATCTTATTATTTTTTATATTTGAATTTTTTCATATATTTTATATTTTACATGGATTAAGGAATTTATCTCAATAAATTATAGCACTTAAACCGTACCAGCTAAAAATGATATTTAAACTTTATATTTTTAAATTATCTTGATTTTTAAAAATTGTTTTTTTTTTGTATTTGAAAATTAATATTGTTAATTGATATAAGGAAAAGCATTTTAGGACCTCTGGTTTAAGATACATAAAAATGATAATCATTCGTACAGTTTTTTCCCGGCGACCTCTAAGAACGTAGTTTCGCGCCTTTCTTCAATTATATATAGAGGCCTTATTTTACATGCTGGACTTGTTCAATCTTCCTTCCGTTGTAGTCAAACCGATTTGTGAAGAAATTAAGAAGCGATGTTACGTCGTAGTTGGAGCTTGCCTCCCAATTATGGCCTCCGGCGAAGGGATGCTTCTCCGGCGGATCACCGGAGGAAACAAAGGTCTCAAAGCTTCTCTGGGTGAGTTTTCAGAAATATCCATAATCTTAATGATTCTTGATGCTATATATGATTATATATTCTTGCAGAAAGTTGTTGGTATCTGATCTTTAATTTCTCTCTCTCGTTAATCCCGCAAGAATTTAGCTTGTTTGGTAGCTGTTTGATTTTTGGTCAGCTCATTAAATTTCAAGTTCTTCTGTGTTATTTGGTGGTTTGAATTAAAACATTTCATGTAGTCTTGAATCAAAAGAAATATGAATGACAGAGAATTATCTTTCTTACCGAATCAATTCTTGACCATCAACATTGTCGGAATTAATCTAATAATATCTGAGCATTTGCACTCAATGAATCCTTCTGTTTATTGATTAGTGCTAACGTACATATATCTGTGATGGTTTCAGGCGTGAAATGATTAAAGAATTGAGAATGTTGGATATGAGCAACACCACAAAAGAAGACAGGCAAGAGTAAGACTTAATGACTAGATAGACTTCTCTCCAAAGTGTTTTCTCCAAAATTTAGACTTCGTATTTAATGATCAGTTCAGTGTTGTTAAGGCAGCTCCTTGGAGAATAATTTTTATCAGCAAATTAACTCACGATGTTGGAATCCCTATCATCAACTTCTTTTTGTGGGATTTGAAAAGTGAATTAATTAAAGCCGTAATGATTAGTGAAGTTCGTAATTTAAAACAATCCTATATCCATTGTGCATTAAGTCTTTCTGTTAAATCTTTGGATTTTCTGGCAGGCCGGACGAAGGAGGGAGATTATTGTTGGAATTGATGGCAGAAAAGGCGGCAAGAAGAAAAGAAGAAGCGAAAATTATGAAGGAGGAGTTAAGTTCAGCGCTGACGAAGTTAGATAAAATAATGAGCAAGGCAAAGAACTTGAAGAAATTGGAGGATCTTGATGAAGCCAAATCCGGGGATGACAAGCAAGATACCTGCATTGATGCTAAAAGAAGGAAACAAGTGAGGATCTTGCTCTGAGTCAAAACTGACAAATTCCAAGAATGTGCATATATATAACTCATTGTATATAGCTCTAGATAATTTTAATGATCAAGGGTCCTAACTATTATTAGGCAACTTTATCAAATGATTCTGTGACATGTATTGACTTGCTATAATTTAATTTAGAGATACCTATGATTAATTAGCTGCCTCTGTTTTTACCTTTATGATGACTGGCGATAACCTTAACAAGGCTAATAAGTTCAAAACTAAATATCTTTATATGTGGTGAATGCTATAACTTGATGAGCTTCAATACTTGATTTGGGACTTCTTGTCAATTATCATCAAACTTGCTTCCATGTGTTGTGTCACTGACATTGGTTGTTGTAGTTTTATATGTGAATGTTGTGGTCTAATGAATTTCTAGGAACGCAGTCTGGTTTCTGTTCTCGCCTAAGTTACATATATATACTAGGAGGATTCATCAATAACTAGCTAGTTTATATGAGTCACATTTTTGTGGATAGGGAAAATTAGCTAAGCTAAACACTATATATAAATGTAATTATGCAGTATTGCAGTACGAACTAGGAATCAGTGACCAATTAACAGTTGTATTGCTTTTTTTTTTTGGCCAACCAATTAACATTGTATTGTTTGTTTGTTATGTTTTGATTGGTTTATATGTAGGAAGAAGCTCAAAAGGAGAGAACTGAGATGCATCAAATGATTGATGAGCTTACGAGAGAAGAAATTCATCGAACAAGTTACTTAGGAGCCACCACACAGGAGGAGGATGCTGAGACTGAAATGAATTCTAATTAGGCTCCGTACGTAAAATCACAATTTTGGGGTCTCATCATCACATGGCCCTCAGCTGCTTGTAAAAATCATATGTTCTTGATGGGTTTTCTATCTTGTTCTTTCATTATAGAATAACATTAGAGTGTTGGTGTTTCAAGACTTCAAGTCCTTATAAGATTGAATAAGTATGGCATTTTGAACTATAAGATTTCATGGTATATGCTTAAGATTGCACTTATATTGAAAAGAATACAAATTTTACATGATTATGAGGAACATTAACGCATTTTATTAATATGAAATGTCAAGAAAAGCTTGTGCATTACAGGAATGCGATACGATGCTAGTCTAAACCTCTAAACGAGTACTGATCATATTGAGGGCCGTTAAAAAAAAGTGAATAAATTGGCCAAATTTTTTTAAAAAAGAAGAACAGAACAGTCCTTAGTTTGATTCATCATAAAAGCTCTTTTCATCTTTTATTGTTGATACAAAGTCATGTCTTTTTTTTAAGATTAATTTTTACAATACGGTTTTTTGTATATAATTAGTAATTATTTTATAGGCTAAAATGTATTTTTAATTTTTAATTTTTTAACTTTATACAAAGTTTTATTTTGATCCCTTAACTTTAAAAAGTGTACTTTTAGTTTTTTAACCTTAAAATTGTTAATAAAAAATGATAATATTGGGATTTTGAATGTTGACAAAACATTCTCAAATGCTAACTTATTAGCTTTAATTTTTAAAAAAACTATAATTGTTATAAAAAATCATCATTTATTAAAACTTGTTATTTCAATATTAAAAAAATGAAAATATATTTTTTTAAATTAAAAAATAAATTAAAATATTTTTAAAATTAACGACTAAATGTGTATTTTAACCTTATTTTATACATATGGGCACGTGTACATTCACTTGGCTCGTTTACGAATTAATGAGCACCCAAGATCACAAACCTTTTTTTAAAAAAAAAAAAAAACTAATCAGCTAAGAAAACTAGAAAACCTTAGCTGACGCCCATGCGATTGCCAGATTTATAGTTTTTATTTTCATAAAAAATATATAATAATTCATCGAACTATAACTTTCAACTTCAAAAATTAAGTTTCGTATACTAACAAGAATAAAATCTTGCAATTTGGAAAATATTAATCTATAAATTTAAAAACTACAAATTATAAATATAATTCTGCAAGGTATTCATTGTAACTTAATAATTATTCTTTGTTTTCAAAGATTGATTTCAACAGTTAACTGTCAATTATACATTTATATGTGAAATACAGTTATGCGCCTTTCTTGAATTATAATTTTTTTCCGGTAAAACGAAAAAAAAAAGAAGAGCAATTGTGGGGCTGCTTAGAATAGAGGTAGTCTTATATAAAGGCCCTCTCTTACATACTGGACTTTATCATATTCCTTCCGCTGCAGTCAAACTAATTGGTGCAGAAACTAATTAAGAAGCAATGCTGGGTCGTAGTCGGAGCTTACCTCCCAATTATGGCCGCCGGCGAAGGGATGCTTCTCCGGTGCTCCACCGGAGAAAACGAAGGACTCAAAGCTTCTCTATGTAAGGTTTTTCAGAAACATACATGCATAATATTTATGATTCTTGCAGCAAGTTGTTAGTCTGATCTGATCTCTGATCTTTCTTTCTCTCATTAATCCCTCAAGAATTGGCCTGCTCGCTAGCTGTTTGAGCTTTGGTCAGTACATTAAATTTCAAGTTCTTTTGTGTTATTTGGGTGGTTTGGATTGCAACATTTCTTGTAGTCTCTTGCGTCAAAAGAAATTGTGAATGATAGAGAATTATTTTTCTTCCCGAATCACCAATTCTTGACCATCAACGAACATTGCTGGGATTGTTATTCTTTTAAGTCCTTTTTTGTACGCTAACGTACATATATCTGTGATGGTGTACGTCAGGCGT